GCGGGCGTCCCGCTCTCGGCCGTGGGGAGCGCGCCTGGCGCCCGGCTTCGTCCAGCCGCGGTGACGGAGCTCTTGGTCTGGCTCGCCTTGCACTTGAGGACGCTCGAGCAGGGCTTTCGTCGCTTGTTGCCTTGTTTTTTTTTGCGTCGTGTGAGTTCCCTGAGTCACTGAAACGGGAATCTTGTTTTTGTTAGTGTAGGAGTAGACAGGAAAACGTTGTACTTTGAGAGTTGTAGATTGGGGGAAAGGCACTTGTATTAGGCTATCTGCCTAAGCTATGGTAACGGAAAGCCTGTAATAGGAGAAGTGCACTGGATGCCGCTTTTGCAGGGGGCGAGACTAGGTTTGGCTTCAGCTGTGCAACTTGGAGCGTTGTAGCTTGGTAACACTGATCCCCTTTCGGGTGAGTATTAAGCCTGCAGTTTGGGTTGGGTGAGATTCTGTAATGTGTCTGCTGGTAAGGCAAGTCTGAAAGATTACCCTGATCAAAACTGTTAAGAAAGTGGTATAAAGCCGTGAGATCAGATGTGATTTTTTTTTTTTTTTTCTGAGAAGTTAGAGAAAAGCGTTTACTGTGGGTGTGTTGACCTATATCTGTAATCCCAGCACTCAAGAGGTTGAGGCGGGAGCACCGCTAGGACTTAATGCTAGCTTGGGGCACATAGTACAGGTTTAAACAAAAAAACATTCAGTGGAAACTTTAGTGAGGACTGAGAGATACTTCACTGAAAGTGCTTTGAATATTGGATTTTCTTGGGCAGTGTGCCATTTAGGGAAAAGCTTGTTTCGTGGTGAGAGAACACTTTAAATGCTGAAGAGACGGGCTAAGAGTTGGTAGTATCTTGGTCGTTTTGGCTTTACAAATGATCTACTTCTTACTGTTGATGTTTAAGTATTCTTGTTTTTCGAGACTGTGTCTGTAGTTGAGGTTGGCCTTGAATTCACGATGTAGCCCAAACTATCCTCAAATAGTGGCAATTCTCTTTCCCCAGCCTCCTTAGCGCTGGATTACAGGCGTGCCTCACCACGCCCGATGAAAATACTCTCATTTGTATCACCCAGAGGTGGTTTTAGGTTTTAAATTCTGTATTAACGGTTGTTTTCTTTCCAGACTGCAAAATTCAAAATGGGGCTCAAGGTATTCGTTTCATCTACACCAGAGAAGGCAGACCGAGTGGCGAGGCTTTTGTTGAACTTGAATCAGAAGATGAAGTCAAATTGGCCCTGAAAAAAGACAGAGAAACTATGGGACACAGATATGTTGAAGGTTTGACTTACGTTGCCCTAGTAAAAATAAAAAAAAAAAACGTTAAACATAGAGATTTTACCCCTTCTGAATTTTAGGTATTTGACCGCATGGAAATGGTCATCTAAGGGAGTTTATGGCAGCTCTTCCTAGCTTATCTAAAGACCCAGGAAATCTGAACTTTGTTCTGTAACTTTCCAAAATTGACTAATTCTAAGCACCTCTTTCAGTATTCAAGTCAAACAACGTTGAAATGGATTGGGTGTTGAAGCATACTGGTCCAAATAGTCCTGACACGGCCAATGATGGCTTTGTACGGCTTAGAGGACTCCCCTTTGGATGTAGCAAGGAAGAAATTGTTCAGTTCTTCTCAGGTATGTGGTCTTGTTGCTGAGCAGTGAGTTCTGGCTAGCTTCTGGCAACTTGATTGAGTAGATGTTACAGTTGAGTAGCTTAGGTATTAAATAGGTTGTGAGTATATGCTGATGAGTTTGTTGTTTTCCTGGAGACCTTCAAATAACTTAAGCCCATCTTAAAGGTGGAAATCAGAATTACTTCCAAAATGTTAATCTTGCGTATATTTAGTGTCTTAGTTCAGAGTAGATCTTTTGAGGATTATCCTCAACAGTTTAACTGCTTTTCTCAGATGCTGTTTAGCAGAGTACTTCAAGTTAAAGGTAAGCTCCTGTATCCTTAGATTAGTATGAGTTAGGTCGTAATTTTCATAGTGTCAATTATATACGACACTTAGGTCATAGAACCAGAAATACTTCTAATGGTTTAATTCTTTGTATAGCCCCCACCCCTCAAAAAACATAGCTTAGCCAGCCTGTATGAAATGTTAACTGAAAGTTAAATTCAGCAAGTGCAGGTGGGATGCTTGTCTCAGTATCTGAAATAACAACATAGAAAGTATTTTGAAATTGTTCTGGGCCTAAAGTATTTGAATGTTTTTATGCTGAAGAGCTGATAAGATTGCATGTTTAGCAGAATGTTACATCATGTATTTTAAGTACCAGTAATACTCTTGATGTGATAAGCTGGAATTAAGCAAGAAATCCTTTCATGGTTTATATAGTATGTATTAAAATCTTGACTATTAGATGGTAATGTATCAAGTCCTAATATTTTGTCAGAATTTCTGAAATCTGTTTTGTTTTATCTAAATCGGTGAGAATTGAATGCTATCTGTCAACGTTAAATATGAACATAATTTCATATCTTCTAGGAAAGTGCTTTAAGCCCTTTTTGTAAGCTTGGGAATGTATCCACGGAAAGGATTTTTCATAAACGGAATTTCCAGAAGTGAATCATACTACTGTTAGAACATAAGAATGCATGACTATACTGTGTAGATAGTTTGTTCAAAGTTTTAGAGTGTGTGTTTGTTGATTATATGATTTGTTTGACTTTTTATATGAAATGTTTTAAATGTGTACTTTTTAAAAATTTGAAGTTCCAATAACTTAAAGTGTTGAAATATAAATTGAGGTAAAACGTGTGTGTTGAATTTAGTAAAACTGTTATTTTAATGCTTGAAACTGTTAAATTGTATAATTCTCAACGATACATTGATTGCATAGATAAGTGTTAACTGTTGAATTCTTAATGCACCCTATGTGAAGCAGCAAGTTTTTAAAAACATAAATGCATACAGCGCCCCATGGGATGTGTTAAGAATTGTGTTGTACTTTTAACTGTGGAACTTCATATTATTGCAATGCATATTTAAAGAGTACTTGTTGAAAGCATACCGTTCACCTAAAGTTAAAGTTCTGGTTTATTTAAAGCTATAAGAAGAATCATTTCTGGGCTTGTGATGTTAATATTGCCCCCCTACTGGGGTTATTTGTCCTTGGGTTGAAGGGTTGGAAATCGTGCCAAATGGGATAACATTGCCGGTGGACTTCCAGGGGAGGAGTACGGGGGAGGCCTTCGTGCAGTTTGCTTCACAGGAAATAGCTGAAAAGGCTCTAAAGAAACACAAGGAAAGAATAGGGCACAGGTGGGGATGGATGGCTGGTGGATTTGTCACTTTTCTTATGGTAAACAGTTAAATCCATATTCTCTCTGCTTAAGAGGAAGAAATCTGTCCATTTCCTAGTTTCCATTAGTTAATTGATCTTTTGCCACAATTTCAAACTTTCGTCTGTCTCATATTATATTGAAACAAACTAAATTTGAGGTTTTAAAATTGTCACCAATTTGATTTACTTTAGGATTTTGTAAGGTTCTTAATATATTAGCCCCAGTCAATGGAGTTGAGAGACTATGGCTTTAAAAAAATTAATGCAAACCTGGCTTAGCTGTAATAACACCCAACTAGTAAATTAATATTACCATAAGAAAATGTGATACTTTCTGATCTTGTTTTTAAAGTTGAAATGCAACAAACTTTTTCTTGCTGTATAAATATTCTGCATATGTATTAATAAGCATAGCTTTCAAGAAATTGTCACAAAAGGTTTTATTCTCTTGCTTGTGACTATTTTTCATTGAAGCATGCGCTTACCTATGCTGATTCTTACTAAAAGCATAGGCTGGGGTATTACTTGGCGACAGGGAAGTGTGTAGTGTGGGCTGGACTGCTGGCGAAGGCCGGCTTTTGAGCCCACTTGCTATACATGCTGCCAGTGGATTTGAGTTGAAATGTTGAAAGTTGAGTGGAATTCTTTCCCTCCTGAACTGTTTATTTGTAGTGCTCCTCGCTACCCCTAAGGTTGGGCTCTGCCTCAGAGGAGTAACTATTTTCCTATAAAGTTTACATTAAGTTGTTTTACTGTTGAGTGAATTTCTGGTCATTGCCTATGCAAATATAAGAAATCTGGCTTTAAATATTAGTCAGTTTCATGGCTATGACTAGACTTGTTTTCTTGTGTAAATAAGTGCCTTTATGAAATGAACTAATGTTTTCTCTCCCCTCCCCACTCCCTTCCTCTTGGACAATGCTTTAGGTATATTGAGATCTTTAAGAGCAGTCGGGCTGAAGTTAGAACTCATTATGACCCACCACGAAAGCTTATGGCCATGCAGCGGCCAGGTCCCTATGACAGACCTGGGGCTGGCAGAGGGTATAACAGCATTGGCAGAGGCGCTGGCTTTGAGAGGATGAGGCGTGGTGCTTACGGTGGAGGTGAGCAACACTCTGTCCAAGGCTGGACCAGTTTGTTTCTCCTTTGTCTAGGTATTGGCATTGGATTAATTGCACTTTTTGTTTTTCAGGCTATGGAGGCTATGATGATTATAACGGCTACAATGATGGCTATGGATTTGGGTCAGATAGATTTGGAAGAGGTAGGGTAAGAATTAAATTTTCCACTTGAAGGATGCTTACACTTTTGTTCATCTAGACCTCAATTACTGTTTTTCAGGAATGTCTGATCACAGATATGGGGATGGTGGATCTACTTTCCAGAGCACAACCGGACATTGTGTACACATGCGGGGATTACCATACCGAGCTACTGAGAATGACATTTATAATGTAAGTGCAAGGTGGATTCATGGGCAGTTTCAGTATGGGAGTTAAACTGAGCATCATGTAATGAAAGTTTTCATGTTAGAAAGTTGAGCTGGGGTGTAGCTTACTGGTACAGTGCTTGCTTGGCAAGCCTAAGTGTAGTGCTCAGTCCCAGCACTGCAAAAGAAATTCTTTTGGTGTATCTTGTGTTTCAGTTTTTTTCACCGCTCAACCCCGTGAGAGTACACATTGAGATTGGTCCTGATGGGCGAGTAACTGGTGAAGCAGATGTTGAATTTGCAACTCATGAAGATGCTGTTGCAGCTATGTCAAAAGACAAAGCAAATATGCGTAAGTGCGATTAGAGCACTTTTACAGGTGCATGAGAAATTTTATTTCCACTGGTTGGGGTTAGTCTGAATGTGTTAAAGTTTGTAGGTTTTTAAAGTTAGTATGCAGAGCTGGGTGTGGTGATAGCCTGTAATCCCAGCACTTTTGGGAAGCTGAGACAGGATTGCTGAAAGTTTAAGGTCAGCCTGGACTACATAGGGAGTTCATAGCCAGCCTCAACATTTAGAGACCTTGTCCCAAACAGTCCCCCAAAAAAAAGCCACAGAAGGGGATTTGTAATATGATTATATATAACGAAGTTTGTCTTTCATTAACAAGTTCAGATAAATGTTTAAAGACTAGTTTTTATAAATGAGCAGCTAGAAATTTTTTTTTACCGAAAAGTATTTAAAGTTAACAAAATTGACTTGCATAAGAACTCCTGAAGTGCTTTTCTTGTATTTCATCAACATGGATTTTCAAACTTTTCTTTTTTGTCATTTCAGAACACAGATATGTAGAACTCTTCTTGAATTCTACAGCAGGAGCAAGCGGTGGTGCTTACGGTAGCCAAATGCTAGGAGGCATGGGTTTGTGTAAATATCACTTTAGTGTCTTTTTTTTAAGCTAACCTTGTATGCCTTTTCTCTCATTTCAGAACACAGATATGTAGAACTCTTCTTGAATTCTACAGCAGGAGCAAGCGGTGGTGCTTATGGTAGCCAAATGATGGGAGGCATGGGCTTGTGTAAATATCGTTAGTTTTTTTAAAAACCAAAACATTTTATCTGTATAAGTTAAGTTAATCATTTAATTAATTTAGCATAATTTAAGTTAGCTTAATTAACAAGTTAGGCAAAGAGAATAGTTTCTTAATTGGGATGAATTTTGTAAATAGTACTGTCTTAGTACTTAAATCTTGTAACAAAACTGTTTAGGATAAATCAAATTTGCATATAAGTACTTTGGGGGAGGGGACTACAGATGGAACTAGTTAAGTTGTCTGAATACATAGTTTAAATGTAAAAGAAATAGCAAAAACACAGGCTTAAGATAAACTTAACTTTGGGGGCATAATTAGGTGTGGATTGATACCTGTGTATTGACATAGCTTAATATATTAAACTAAAGAGGCTGCTCCACTAAATCCAATCAAGCAGTTTACGATCTTCACAAGACCTACTGTGGAATTGTGGATTTAGTCCTGCTGAAGTGTATTCTGTTAACCAGTTGGTTCGTAATAGACTGACTAGCTGAAATGAATAGAAGGGATAGTCTGGTTATAGACAACAGGCAGAAGGAGGCAGAGGGTTATAGTAATAGAAGATTGAGACTGGAAATCATAGAGTTACAAGCCCGGTACCACCAGGTACCACAGTGCATGAGGAATGAGGCGCTAATGTTCTCTTAACTTGACAGCAAACCAGTCCAGTTACGGTGGCCCAGCTAGCCAGCAGCTGAGTGGTGGCTATGGAGGCGGCTATGGCGGCCAGAGCAGCATGAGTGGATATGGTAAGTGTGCGTTTTTACACACCTAGAATAAGTTGTAGGTGGGTTTCTTTAGTTGGGAATATGCAGGGTTCTTTTTGGTGAGATTGGGTTATTTAAATGTATGCTTTTAATACTGATCTGAAATAGTTTAACTTTCATAAACAGTCATGGGGGAGGAGTGTTATAAGAATTAAAAAGTAGTCATTGGAATTTTGGCATACTTTTGAGCCAGAAAACATCTGCCTTCATTTGTTAAAATATTAAAGTAGTTTTTTTTTCTGCCTTTGTTAGCATTAAATCGATTTTTGAAGATTTTTAAATAGTAGAATGGTGGTTGGGTTCAGGACCGTATTTTAACACTAGTCAGTTAACCTAGGGATGGTTTTATTATTTTTTTCAATTGGTCTAAAGAATGATGATTTTGGTATGATAGTCTTACCCTACAAAATCCTTTTGCAGACCAAGTTTTACAGGAAAACTCCAGTGATTTTCAATCAAACATTGCATAGGTAAATATTTTCTCAAAAAATATAATTTAAATTCCCAATAGCCAATACTGATATGTTGTAAACCACTATCTCTAGCGGTCAGTGGCTCTGACCTAACTCCTTGGCTGCCTGTGGGCACAGTGAGTGGCCGTTAGTTCCGCTTTGTCAGCTCACCTGTTGCCCACCATGAATAGGAAAAGCAAGAGACTTCCCCTGTGCTCCCTATTCATAAGTGCCATTGGATGGACATTGTGAATGTTACGGTAAATTTTTTAAAAAATGCCTTGTTTAGCTTTAAAAACTTAAAGTAATTTTGCAATTTTTGAAAAACACTAGTTTTCCTTTAAACTTAATTTTCCTGTTGATCCTGAAGAATCTGTTTAAGTGGTAGCACAAGAGTCTGGCAAGTTGGTACTGGAGAGAAAGGGGTTAATCGGGACTTGTTTGGAGTCGGGATCCCCCTTTCCCAAACATGCTTCTCGCCACGTGGACAGCAGCCATTTGTACTCGTATACCTTTTAAACTTTTTTCTTGGAACATTGTATTTTATTCGACTGATTGTCTGACACTACTCCTCATTTGTGAAATTGATCTCTTTGCAGGCAGCCAAGGAGCAGTGAACAGCAGCTACTACAGTAGCGGAAGCCGTGCATCTGTGGGCGTGAACGGCATGGGAGGGATGTCTAGCATGTCCAGTATGAGTGGTGGCTGGGGAATGTGATTGATCCTGATCACTGACTCTTGGTCAACTTTTTTAAAGGAAAAAACAAATCTCCATTCAGTTTAACAGTTTTCGCAATCCAAGCTTGTGATTTATGCTTACTCCTATCAATGGAAATCAGGATTGTTTCAAAAGACTCAAGGTTCAGGATTTTGAACACAAGTTATCCAGGCTGTAACATCGAAGTTGAGTAGACTATGTAACTGTTAAACAATTTTCAGCTTTTCTCAAGTTAGTTATATTGTAGGATGTACTTAAGCAGTAAGTGTATTTAGGTTAAAGCAGTTGAATTATGTTAAATGTTGCTTATACCATATTACATGGAACACTGTTTGGATGCATGTTGAAAGACATGCTGTTTTGTAAAACTCAATATAGGAACTGTGTCTACAATTAAAAGTGAAACATTTGGCATGTTAATTCTAGTTTCATTTAATAACCTGTAAGGCACGTAAGTTTAAGCTTTTTTTTTTTAAGTTAATGGGGAAATTTTTGAGACGCAATACCACTACCTTAGGATTTGGTCTTGGTGTTTGTATGAAATTCTGAGGCCTTGATTTAAATCTCATTGTATTGTGATTTCCTTTTAGGTGTATTGCGCTAAGTGAAACTTGTCAAATAAATCTTTTAAAAACTGCACTTTGTCTCACCTGTGCTTCAGTGTCGTGTGGCTCTCCGCTGCTGTCCCTGCCCAGGCGTAGGGTCACATCTCTGGCTGCCAGAGGCTCGGCAGTCACTGCAGTTAGATGTCTCCACCTTCTCAGCTTCAGGTAAACTTGGCCCTGGGGCCCTCGAGGCAGGAAGGGCTTCCCCGGCCTAGTCTCAGCGCCCTGGCCTTGAGCGGGTGTGCAGAGCGGCGGGTAGGGTGCAGCCTGCGTGGCAGAGGCCGTGCATGGCCATGCAGTCAGTGAGGGTGCCTGGATGCTGCCTGGTGCTCTGATCGCATGTTTTGGGAACATGATCGTGTGGGGTGGGGTGTGAGCCCAGGGCCTTGTGCATGCTAGGCATTCCACTAATGAGCTACACTTTTCAATTGGTTTGGAATTGACACTTTGAGCTTGATGCTTTTGCTGTATTCCTAAAAGTGAAGTCTGCTGGACAGTAGAACTCCATGACCCTCCTGTCAGTACCGAGGAGTATTTCACAGCAAACCCTGACTAGCTTTGATCAGGTACTGAAATACTCTAGGTTGAACTCCACGGGCAGTCTTGAGGATGTAGGCTGGAATGCCGAGTGGACCCTCAGGGTGTTGCAGTTTGGAGTGGTCCCTCGGCCTTCTTAGACTTGAGTGGTACGAAGATGAGAATGTGCAGTGCAAGCTGTGCTGAAGCCAAGTGTGTAAGTTAACTCTTGGCCATGTGTAAGGTAGGATGGGCAGAACTGTTGGCCACTTGCAGGTCCATGGGCAGCAGCGCTACATAGAAGATTTGTGTGGAGTGTTCCGCGGGTCTCAGCTGGCTCAGCCCTACTCCCAAAGTGTAGTTCCCACCAGTGGAGGAAGGTCGGGGTGTATTGGAGCTCTTGCCTTACAGGCCTAGCTGGGCAGTGAGGAAAAGGCCTTGCGTCCATCCATGCCCTCAGGTCTGGGTGAGTGTCTGGAACCAGACCTGATTTTAAGGGCTTGAGGGCTCTGTGTCCTTAAGGTAACAACATTATCTGCAAGTGGCCTGCTGGAGGAAGAAAAGGGGCTGCAGTAGAACTAGATTTGCTCTCTGACTTCTGTGAATGCAGGATCGTCATGGTTCTTGGATCTTCATGTTGTGACCAGCTGTCACTTGCGATTGCACAGCAGTGGCTCCAGACACCCCATGCTGGAGCAGCACTAGCCAGGACCTTGAGCAGGCTGGGGACTGCGCCAGCATCTCGTTCTGACCTCTACCAGCACTCGGAGCTGAAAGCTGCTGCGGTACCTTACATTCATGGGGTTGTCAGAAGGCAGTGTGCCAGATAGGAACCTGGGGTTCAAGTTCAGGTGTATTAGAATTCGGGGTGGAAAGGTTACGTTGGCCGCTGACAGCTAAATACTGGTAACCTTGGTCCAGGTGTCCACGGTAACACTTCTGCGTGGGGTACAGCGAGGGCAGGAGTTCACAGGAAAAGGAACTCTGAACTGGTAAGTACAGTGGAAGAAACGTGTGTGTGTGTGGTTTTTTGTTTTTCTTTGAGACAAGCGCTCACTATGTAGTCCAGCGGGCCTTGTTCAGACTAGCCTTGAACTCAGCAATCCTGCCTCAGCCTCCTGAGTGCTGGGATTATAGATGTGCATTACCACACCGGGCGTTCGATGCATTTTTTTAAAAAGAGCAGAATACATTTATTGGGGAAAGCAAGCTGAGCAAGAAGGGGTCCTGAGTTGGTTGATGTAAGATAATTTATCTGCAAACAACCCCACTGCAGTCAAGGAGCGTCGGTGTAAGTGAACTCACTTGGCGCATAGCCACAGCCGCTTTTCCGTACAGCAGCCAGCTCTGGGGAGCTGCAGGAGCTCAGTGGGCTCGCCACACACCGGAGTGAAAATAAAGGCATTTATTTCTGGGTGGAGGGCTGGAGGAGGGAGCCCTTCCCTCGAGGGAAGGTCAGATCTCTTGCCTCTTAAGGCACAAAAGGCCCCAACAGACCTGATGTGCAAGTTGTGACACACGGTGGGGAAGAGAAAACCTGATTCTTAAGCTAGTTCACCTGCTGCAAAATAGGTTTATTCTCTGAAAAGTGAAAAGTGGTAGTAGCAAAACCAGGAAGTCACATCTGGATCGGAGCCAGTGCTGTACCCAAGCGAGGGGGCAGTGCAGCCAAGGGCGAGCTCCCGCAGGCACGGGAGGCGCTGCCCACCCACTGGGCTTCCCGGGCGCTGGGGCCGGCAGGGCTGAGTCCACTTGGCCATGTGGAAGCATGTCCCCCGCATGCCCTGGTGAGCCCGGAGACCCAGAGTTTGGCACGGTACTAGAGGCTGCCCTGTGGACCGGCAGCGGTGGCCAGGAGGGCGGCCTCAGGAGGCAGTAGAGGAACAGCGCTGCAGCAGGAGGGTGTGGCAGCTGTCGCACACCCGCACCGGCTTCGGGTAGGAGGGCAGGGCCAGCTCATTGCTGGAGCAGGTGTTGCAGAAGATGTGGCCACAGTTTCGGCAGTGGTGCTAAGGAGAAGGCAACAACCACCGCTGGGGAAGTGTGGCCCGCCCACCGACCCTGATGCCTGATGCCCTCCCCTGCAGGGTCCCTCCCTCTCCAGTGACCCTAGTGACCTGCAGAGCCTGGCCTTCCCTCTGCTGCAATCCAGGGTCCTGACTGGAATGCTTGCGTCATCCGCAGGGGGCTACCTTGAGCCCGCTCCTGGGCCCAGGCTCTGCAGCACCTTGCACTCCACGTCAGCTCTGAACCTCGAGCTGCCTGGCTCTGCGCACGTGCCAGCTCGCAGGCACCCCAGGGGTCCTCCCACCCACCCACCTGGAACTTGGGCCCTCCTTCCCCAGAGGACCGTCAGTGGGAACAGACAGGGACAGGGCTGCCCACGACCACGGCCACGGGGCGGGCGGCCACATAGGCCACTGCTGCCTCTCACGTCCCTTCAGGTCCCAGCTGGTCTTGGCGGCGCTGGGGGGCCTGCTCCTGGAGCCTGGCGTGGGCCACCAGCATATGCAGACGGCCTGCCCAAGTCACAGCGACCTCAGTGACCTGCTGCTCTCCAGCTCCCCCATGGAGCCAGGTTTTCTTTTGCAGGACACAGAGGATTTTCAAAAGGTAAGTGCTCCTTCTCACTCCTTCTCACCCAGACTGGCAGCCCAGAAGGGGAGCCAGCTCCACGGAGAGGCCATGTGCCTGGCCCAAGAAGGGCTCTGCCCTGCACACCGAGGTGGAACCCCAGCGGGTGACAGCCGCGGTGGCGCCATGCCCTGTGTACCTTTCTCCGGGATATGGAGAACTCCTTTTCACACTGCTTGCAGTGCGTTGCTTCGTCGTCTTTCAGCCAGGTGTGACCCTAGGGAGGGAGAAGCACCACAGATTCTGTTTGCAGGCACCAGCTGTTCCACACACACCCGGCCTTTCCCAGTTCCTCTCCACTGAGGGGCCTCACACGGCCTGGAGGAAGGCCCCGACCCGGCCTCCGCCAGGCTTCCCGCGCCCGGCAGTGCCTGCCCTGCCCCAGGCCCCTTGGCCCTCCAATAACCTGTGTGCGGAGCCCTTCAGGCTCAGGTGCTAGTGCCTGCAACCCCAGACCTGGCCTGAGAGGACACCACAGGCTCGCTGAGCCGGCGGGCGGGCGGGCGGGAGGGAGGACATTGAGCAAGCCCGGCCACCTGGCCACCCACGCAGTCCTGTGCGAGGCTTAGCTGCTCCTTCCCCCAGGTTGCAGACTGTGGGTACGGGGGCAGGGGTTATGGTTGGTGTGCAGAGGGGTCAAAGGCATGGTGTGCTTTTCTAGCCCCTGGCATCTGTGGACAGAACTTTCTAGATGACATCTGGTCCTCACAGCAGCAGGGAGCAGACCTGGGTGTGTCTCCCCCTCCGAGTCAGAGCTCAGTGGCTCCAGAGCCCGGCCTTCCCTCCAGGGCCATCAGCTGTCATTGTTCGGTGTGCACTTCTGTGCAGCTTGGGGACAGGAGGACAGATAGCCAGCAGTGATGACATCTAGCTGCTGCAGGGCTCCCCTGGCACCTTCTGCTGCTCCCAAGGGGAAAGGGTCTCGGCCTCTCCCCAAATGCTCCCGGAATCAGGCCTGGTTCCCAGGCGGCTCCCATGGGGCATGTGGCAGGCTCCCTGATAGGCTCAGCCGCTTTGCTGGAGGGAAGGGTCTCCCTGTGCCTCTCGCTCCTCTCCAAGGCCTCGCATCTAACCACAGTGAAGAGCAGAGGAACGGCAGTCAAGCCAAGGATCCAGTTCACAGATCCAGCTGCCAGCTCAGCCCCGGGCCACCACTGTCCCCACCGTGGGGGAACATGCAGGCACACACAGGAGGCTGGCATTGGCAGGGACCCTGGAATCCCAGCACAGTTCAGGCTGAGGCAGGAGGATGGCAAGTTCATGCCTAGCCTGGGCAACTTACTGACTTGGGCAGACCCTGTCTTAAGATAAAAAATAAGCCGGGTGTGGTGGCGCACACCTGTAATCCCAGCACTCGGGAGGCTGAGGCAGGAGGATCCTTGCGAGTTCAAGGCCAGCCTGGGCTCCAAAGTGAGCTCAAGGCCAGCCTGAACGGCCTAGTGAGACCGTCTCATATGATGAAAAATAAAAAAATAAAAAGGGCTGGAGATGTGGCTCAGTGCGACGACTGGGTTCACCCCATGCTGGGTGTGGGGGAGCACCGACACTAAGGATAATCTCATACCTTCAGGGCCTTGTTTACTTCTTTTATGTCTTCCATCTTCAGCTTGGACCTAAAAACATTCACAGTAGTGAGAACAGCTCAGAACTACCACCCAGCTGACGGCAGTGCCTGGCTTTCCGAGCACGTCACAGCGAGGGAGGACAGACGACTGTTACCGCGTCACCCCAGAGTCACCTCATCAGACTGGCTCATGCGTCTGCTGGGGCTGCAGCTGCTAGAACAGCACCTTTGGCCCACGGGCTCAGGAGCATGGAGCCCCAGGCTGCCTCGCCACCCTGGCCAGTGTGTCCCCCTTGGGCAGGGCTTGCACGTCGCGGCCTCCCCACACCCGCCCTTCTCCCGCATCCTCCAGTGTGAGGTGCCGCAGGAGTTGAGCGTGGCGTCCTGGCGGAACTACATCAGATGCTGTCAGAAAACAGCCTCAGGGTTGCCCAGTGCTCGGCTGGCGTTCCTTCCCCCTTCTCCTCCTCTGCCGTGGACACAGGCCGGCTGGCTGGTGGGACTGCATGGACAGCACCGTCCGTATACAGCAGCCGAGACCAGGCCTCTCTGAACACGCTGATCAGAAACGGAACGTACCGTGGCTGCTGCCCTATCGGCCTCTGTGGCCAGGCTGCCATGCCGACGCTAGGGACCGTGAAGGGGCAGCGTGGAGGGCAGGCTGTGGCCTTTCCCAGGTCTGCAGCCCAGCGCAGGAGGAAGCCCTGCCCGCGTCTGCCGGGAGACCACGGGCGGCAGAGTGCAGGTGGCAGCCCCTGCCCAGCCGCAAGCTCCAAGTCCAGTGCCGGGAGCACTGGGCGCCTGGGAAGATACCTGGTGTTGCCCCCGGCCCGGGGTGGGCACTTGGAGGAAGCAGCCCCTAGCAGGTGTGGAGAGACACAGGTATCTGCCCTGCCCGTTCCCACCAGAGCCAGGATTTCCCTTTCTTTTCTTAACAGCTGGTGACCTCCAACCTTGGAGACCGAGCAGCCTCAGGCATCCGCCCGTCCACTCACTGCCTGGCCGGCCTGGCTCACTTCCAGGGTCCCAGCCCTGGACCCTGGCTGCACACACCCGGGTCTCAGAGCCTTGTCACGCATGGCGCAGGACCCTGGGGCACAGCGTCACCTCAGGTTTCTGAGGGCCATGCAGAGCGGGACTTCCTAGTACCAGCTTGCTCTGTAGGGCAGACTGAGTCCTGGTGGCTTCTTTTTTTAAGGCCACTTGAATTTGTTTTTGTCACTTGCAACCAGAAGAGTCCTGACTCAAAGAGAAAAAGCAGTCAGGCCACCAGGTCCCGGTTTAGGTCAGGAATGTCCCTGTGTGCATGCTGAGCAGGACGACACGGGCTCACAGCGGGCTGTGGCTGTGGGCTTCGACCTGGAAGGTGCCTCTCAGCCCTGGCGCCCTGCCCCCTGCTTCCTGTCACCAGGACCTGGGCAGTTTGCTCTGCTCTGCCCTGCTGGGGAGCCGGCTGAGCCAAGGTAAAGCCCTCCTCCTACAGTGTGCAGTTGTCACGGAGACGGACAAGGGCTATCACTGCGGGGTGACCACGGCAACCCGTCCAGATCGGGACACAGCACGGAGCCGTTGAGCACAGGGGGGCAGAGGTGGGCAGAACCCTTCCAGTGCCCCAGCTGGTGAGACCCTGCGGCTCCCAGGGCTGGTCCCCAGAAAGGCCGGTGGCCCCGCTGCAGCAGGGCTGGCCCTGCCCACGGGCACAGCAGCCGCTTCTCTGTCAGTGATGGAGTGGTCACCGAGAACACGGTCAGGGAAGTCACGTGTACCGGAGGCACACCCAGGGTTCAGTGCCCAGTAACTTTCTGGGAGGCCCCTGAACCTCCGAGGTGGTGGGAAGCAGGTGGGGACAGGTTTAATGCCCTCCAGGAGAGGAGGCCCCACCCCCAGGGCCGCAAGGAAGTGGTGCTTACTGGCTGAGGTGCAGGCCCATTTCCTGGAGCGCTTGCTCTTGCTCGCCACAGACCTTCTGTAACTCTGTCTTCTCCTCCTGGAGCTCCCGCAGCTCCTAAGGGGGACAAACCAGACGTCTGACACAGAATCACAAGTCTCATTTGTTTGTCTGCTTGTTTTTCACATAGGGTCTCAAGGTCAGGCTGGCCTTGAACTCACATGGAGCCCAGGCTGGCCCTGAACTTGAGGCAGTCCTACTTCAGCCTCCCAAAACCTGGGATTAATGGCAGACAGGTGTGTGCCAGCACACCTGATTTATTCTTATGCTATGAAGTTTTCAGAAGTTTCACAGAAGCAAACGTGGTCTAGCAGTAGTGTCATTGTCTGCAAGTTACTGGAAACGGCGGTGGGAGGTGAGTAGCATGGCGGTTCTCAGCCAGGGACTGGGGCAACCGCATCCGCCAGGCAGGGGAATAGCCTGGCCCACAGGCCAGTAAGGGCTGCTGGCAGCGCCTCTGAAAGGCACGTGTTCTAAACACAGGTGGGTCTCAGGTGGACCGGCCAGGCCATGCTTAGCAAAGCTCCGCTCTGGGAAGGGCTTGTCCACACGAGGACAGCCAGGACCGGGGCTTCACCCACGGCTTAGAGTGGCCAGGCCCCGGGAGCCTGTGGCAGCCGCAAGAGGCCTGAAGGGAGGGATGCTCACTGGGACACAGCTGTCACTGAGGGGATGGCAGTGCTGCAAAAGGGATGGAGAGAGGAAGTGACCTGGGCTCCTGCGCAGCTTCCCTGTGCTCCACAGCGCCTGCTAGCCAGAGCCAGCCACGGGTGCGTTCAGACCTGGGGGTCTCACTGTGGAGTCCAGCCCTGCACTGTTTCTCTTGCTGGGGGAGGTGTGGCGGGAATTCAAGTATGCACCAGAGTCTTGGAGCAGAACACAGAGAACGTCCACGACAGGCAGCTCCCACAGGACTCTCGCGCCTGGCCCAGCCTCGCTGTGAGGAGCCCTCCCCAGCCAGCGGCTCCAGGCCCTTCCACCGGGGGTCCCCACACTGGCTGGCCTGGGTGCGGCGCCCTGAGAGGAGGCCCTAGCTGCCATCACCCTGTCCAGAGGGAGGTGGGAGGTGGTGATGTCACTGAGGGAGAGTTCCCTGTGGCCTCTGGTCCCTGGCAGGGCCTGCTCTACAGGCGCAGGGGACGCCAGGCAGCACCCACTCCGCTCCTCGAAGCCCACAGGGCCCAGATCTCACCTGCAGGCGGGCCCTTCGGAGGACAGTGGGGACAACAGGGAGAATGGAGGCCTTAGGCCTAGCCCTGGGCTTCCCAAGGACAAGCTGATTCCTCTCCCGGGATCCCGGGATCTCCACACAGCGGCTCTCCGGGGCCAAGCGCCCAAGGCCTGGTCCTCATCCAAGCCTCTGCCTAGTGGCATTCAGACTGCGTCCACTGCGAGGACACTTCTGCACTGCACTCTCCTCACGGCACTTATCTCCAAGTTCCTTTGGGTGCGGAGCAGCTCACTGTCTCTGCCTCCTCCTAGGACAGCCTCCGGGCATGTGTGGGAATGGACCCCAAACCCTGGCTCGGGGCGACGCCACTCAGAGGAGCCTGAACGGGCAGCCTCCCGGCAGCGCCTTCTGCAGGCCAGGCGCTGCCGCTGCCATGCAGTCTGCTTACCTTCTTTAGTCCCTCGACTTGCTGTAGCTCTGTCCGGAGCAGAGAGGAGGTATCTTTCTCATGTTGTAGTTCTCGCTGAAGAGCCTGTCTTTGCTCTTTTTCTGATTTCAGCTCTTTCTCTAAACTTGAACTGTTTTCCCAAAATGAACTGGAATGAGTCTCAAAGGGAGATTTTCACGGAAGACCCACAATCCACAGCCCACCACCTGAGACAGCGGGGAACCATCCGAGAGGTCATCTGCAGCCTGCACGGACACCTGCGGCCCTGTCAGGCAGTGAAAGGTCACCCTCCCTGCTTGCACCTCTGTGGGGAAGACGGGGCCACGCTGGGCACACTCACAAAGAAATCACCCAGGCCCCGAGCCAGAGGCCCGAGGAGCAGGCGCGGTCCTGCCTTGCACACCGCAGCCAGCCCGCCCCGAGGACACGAGCTGGGCAGGGCACGAGGGGTGTAACCAGGGTCAGCTGGTTTGCACCCCTGGGCATCCCTCCTCACTCCTCCAGCCTGCCAGGCTTGGCTGGGAGGGAGGGGAGCTGGAGGCCCACCGCCCCCCTCGTCCCCGCCTACCACTGCTCATGCAGCTGTGACAGCTGCCGCTGCAGGGCGCCGACCCGGCCACCGAGCTCCTGCTGCAGCTTGTGGCTCCGCTCCTCCGCGCCCTGTCTTGCCCTCTCCGAGTGCTGTAACCTGGGGGCAACAGGGTGGGCATGAGTGGAGCCCGTCTCTGAGGGCAGGACCGGCTCTTACAACTACGGCTGACTTGCGGATGTGAGCGCGTGCGCGGTTTCCTCCTTTCTGCAGTGCTGGGGGTCTGATCCTGGCTTCCAGTGTGCTAGGCAAGCGCTCTGTCACTGAGCGGCACCCCCGTGCCGCAGGTCCTCCTCAGCCCACGTGCACGCCTGAGACACCCCGAGGAACAAAGCAGCTCCTCCGGCCCTCTGTGCCCTGCCAGGGTCTTGCCCTTGGCCCCCAGCGAACGCCAGCTTGCCCTGTGTGCTGTGGCCTCGTGTCTGTGAGAAAGTCACGTTAGCGGGTCACGTGCCACAGAACCTTGGAGACGGCTTGTTTCTCAGCACAGCGCCTCTGCGCCAGCCCCCAGCTCGTGCGCATTGGCGGTGCCTCCGTCTGTGGCTGGGCTGGCCGCGATAGCTCAGAGGTGCACAGCTCACCCGCTCGCCCCCGCTGATGCCAGCACCGACTCTGGCTTTTGGCCATCATGAGTGAGGCTGCTGTAATGGCCTGTGCACTGCTCTTGTGTGTGTGGGGTTTATTCCTTTGTGGCAGATATCCAGCAGCGGCCCTCGAGGGCCCTGTGGTGTAGTCAGTATTCAGCTTTTTACAACACCCTGCATTTGCACCAGTAATGCATGCATCCCAGCTGCTCAGTCTCCTCCTGTCACCAGGCACTGTGATTAAAAAACTAACCAGCCGGCTGCAGGGGCGGCAGAGGAGGCGGGCAGGCACGCGGGGCCCAGGAGCTAGAGGCAGCCTGGCCGTGCGGCGGGAGCTGTGTGCAGGGCACAAGTGAGCCTGGCTGCTACAGGGCAGGTGTGCAGCGCTCCAGGCTCCGGACGCTGGGCTCTCTGCATGTTCTTTCCCCCCATACAGCACTCTTGGTGGCCAAATCTTGCTCATTTAAAAACTGGATTGCTTGCCAGGTGTGGTGGCCCACGCGTGTAATCCCAGCACTTGGGAGGCTGAGGCAGGAGGATCATTTGAGTTCAAGACCAGCCTGGGCTACAAAGTGAGCGCAAGGCCAGCCCAAACTGCATAGCAAGACCCTGTCTCAAAAAGACAAAAACAAAACAAAACAAATAAAATTGGATTGCTTGAGTTCCGTTCTGAGAGTCCATTACATATTCTGGATACACGTTCTTTGTCAGACTACAATCTGTCAGACCTACGATCTGCACATTTTCTCCACATTCGTAACCTTTTATTCTTGTAGCTATGCCTGTCATACAACACGTCTTTTGGTACTGGAGCTTGAATGGGGGCACTCTACTGCTGAACTACAGCCCCTCCCCTTTAGGAATATTTTTATTGTGAGACAGCACTGTGCTAAATTGCCCAGGCTGGCCTCAAACTTCGATGCCTCAGTCTCCCAAGCGGATGGGATTACGGGGTGCCGCTGCGCCCAGCTCACACCTTTACAGTTCCGGGGACTCGGCTGTGTGGCTCAGTGGTGGTTAGAGCACTTGCCTGGCGTGTGTAACATCCTGGGTTTGACTCCCAGCCCACCAAAAAAAAAAAAAAGAAAGGGAAAGTTGTTTTGAGACAGGGTCTTGCTAGGTAGCTCCTTTAGGCTGGCCTTGAACTCACTGTGGGCCTCCCAGTGCTGGAATTACAGACATGCGCCACAGTGCTCAGCTATGATTGTGATGAAGCCTTATGATTTTCTGTATGGAGGATGCTGTTATCTCTTTGTCCGCCCAAAGTCACCAAGATTTTCTCCTGTGTTTTCTTTTTTTTGAGACAGAGTCTCGATATATAGTTTAGGCTGGCCTTGAACTCACTCTGTAGCCCAGGCTGGCCCTGAACTCATGGCCGTCGTCCTGCCTCAGCCTCCAGAGTGCTGGGATTAGATGTGCACTACCACGCCCAGTCCTCTACGTTTTCTGCTAACAGCTGGGTAGTTTTTAGTGTTACACTGACACTAGTGATCTATCTAGTTACTGGATGAGCTGTGAAGTCTGAGGTTTGCTGTTTTCTATACAGAAGTCTTATTTTGACATCATACTGAAGACAGTCCTTCCTCCACTGAACTGCACTGACAACCTCTATTTTTGGTCTGTTCTGGTCCACTGCTGACCTGATTACTTTTTGTTCTGTCATTTTTGGGACACGGTCTCACTGTGTAGTCGGGCTATTTCAACTTGAAACCCTCTGGCCGCAGCCTCCCAACTACCGGCACCCCGGGTGTGCGCCACCATGGCTGTGGGCTGATGCTTTTGTGCGGCTGGCCTGAGACGCACCGGCTGAACGGTCCCAGCCGCCGCGGGGACAGCCTCACGAGGCAGACTGGGGGACAGACTGCTGCACCCTGCCCTCCCGCTGGGCAGGATCTGCCCCAAGGAGGCAGCGCCCCCCATCAGCACCCGAGAGGGACTCCGGCCCCCTGGGGATGGTCTGGCTGTCGGGGGAGGGATTACCGTTCCTCCATCTCTTTCATGCTGGACAGAACTTGACTGGTCTTGCCCTCAAAGGATGTGATGGCTTCGTTCTTCTGTTGTAAACTGCTCTCTGCATTCTACAAAAAGGAGGAAAGGGGTTCACATGCTGCCCCCCAAGCTGCTGTGCATCACGAAGGGGGCACAGCTGCTGCCCTGTGCTTTGGGCCCCGGGGTGTTTCGGTCGCTGTTCTTCCTCAGTCCCGCAGGACAGAGTGGGGAGACGCCCAGCTCTGCAGGCGGCTGCACAGGCAGGCGTCCTCCCCCGGAGCGTCCTCCCATGCCGTCTCCATGCGCGCGGCCTGGCAGCGTTCTCAGGGCAGCCCGCCTGTCCGGCCAGCGCGGCCTCAGAGAGGAGCGGCTGGGTGCACTCACTGGTCACCCCACGCCTGTGAGTTTTCAGCCCTGGTTTCTAAGCATGTCAGAGGCTAAGTGACCAGGAAGGGCACTGTGTTTACAAGGGACACCCCTAACTGGATATGAAGTCCTAAGAAATTCACCCAAGCTGAATTCTCTGGATTTAATGTAATAAACTTAGACACTAGCAACAGAATAACTACTAAAAGACATCACAGCTGGAAAGTAAACAGCGTATGACTAGAAACTACTGAGCTAAAAAAATAAAAGCTGGGTGTGGTGCGTGTATATAATCCCAGTACTTGGGAGACTGAGGCAGGAAGATCACTGAAACTTTAAGGCCAGCCCGTGCTACATAGTGAGTTCAAGACCAGCCCGAATTACATAGTGAGACCTTGCTTCAGAAAAACAAAACCAAAACAAAAACCAGAAAAAACTATGAAATACCCTGTTAAAAAACACCACTGATATTTCACTGTGCTGGAGATACACAACTTTACACAGGTTGAAGAAAACAAGCCGCAACTCAAACGTGACGTACCGCTGCCGGTTCCGAGGCAGCTTGTTAGAGACGTTACGGTGCGGAAGGCGTGCTTCTTGCCGGTGAGATGCTCTTGCCAGTGTGCTGGGGCTCAGCTAGTGTCTGTCTGTGCATGTATGCACGCGTGCGTTACGTATTTACAGTCTGTTTGTAGGGTGCTGGGGTGCAAACCCAGGGCCTCACACGTCGGGCAAGTACTCTAACACTAAGCTACACCTTCATCGTCCCACGATAGTGTCTGTGGCTCACTGTTAACTTTAAATAGTTTTTATATGAAAAAGGAAAGACAGAAGAGCTAACGAGCACACTTCTCACAAGCGGAAAATGTGCCACAGAACAAAGCTGAGGCGAGGTGGCTTGTGTTTACTCACAATCCTTTGGACACCACGTGTGGGGGTGTTTTCCAGCCCTTGCTTCGTGTTTTTTTGAGACAGGGTCTCACTGTGTAGTCCAGGCTGGCTTCAAACTCGTGGAAATCCTCCTGCCTCAGCCTCCCCAGTGCTGGAATTAGCAGTGTGCACCACCATGCCTGGACTGCCCTCACTTCTGGCACCAGTGTGGAGTCCCACTGTCACCACCCCACACTTCCGCCGACTAAGCCAGTCAGTGTGAGATGCTGCGGGGAGATGGTACCTGGGACGGGGTGCTGCTCACCCGGCAAGGCACGCATGGAGAGCAGGGAGGCCCCAAGGCCGGGGAGAGGACGGGGCAGACACTCGCAGCCTCAGAGGAAGCAACTCTGCTGAGCCCGCCCCCTCAGGCCCTTCTAGGCCCCAGCCTGCAGCGCCTCCTTACAGCTGTCCTAGCAACCTACCGCAACCTGCCGCAGGGACGTGAAGCCACAGCCGCTAAAGTGGTGGCCCATCAGCAGAAGCAAGGAGCAGAGGGGGCTTCGAGCCCTCAGACCCTCCCCACGTGACAGGGGCAGCACCGAGTGCCACTGAGGAAGGACAGGTTGGCTCGTAGTGACTTGCTACACACAGATAAATAAAGCCGGTCTCTGGGTAAGCCACATGCAAAGCCCAGCTTCAGCCGCGTTAAGCCCACCCACCTGGCCAGGGCGCAGCTCAGGGGTGCAGCACCTGCCCAACCCATACAAACCCGGGGCTCAACCCCCAGGACTGCAGTTTAAAAAATGCAAACAAAAATTCTTACCCCTGCCGGGCGTGGTGGCACACGCCTGTAATCCCAGCACTCTGGAGGCTGAGGCGGGAGGATCACCGCGAGTTCCAGGCCAGCCTGGGCTCCAAAGTGAGCTCAAGGCCAGCCTGAACTGCATAGTGCGACCCTGTTTCAAAAAGCCCAAAAAGAAAATTCTTACCCCTGCATACGGAAGGTAAAACTAGTACAGAACCTCTGACACCGGGGTACGAGGAAAGCATCTGAAACAAAACCCCAAAGTGCAGACCGTATCTGAGAAGCCAACATAACGGGCACGGAAAAGACGAGGGTCTGAGGTTACTGGAGGACGGACCAGGAGAAGACAGCATGCAAACCTGTAAGTGGCTGGACTTAGACTATCTGTGGAGTCGCTGCTCATTGGCAAGGAAGACAGGAGACTCAAAAGATAAACAGACAAAAAACAGGCAAATCACAAAGGGCGGGTGATGGAGGAAGGGCCTCACTGACCCGCCTGCGGAGGAAACGGAGGCCCACGTGGGCTCTCACACAGCGGCACGGCCACGGCGTGTGGGCGCAGCCTTCCCAGGCAACGCGGCCCTGCCGCGGGAAGCAAAGGCAGCCCAGGCTCTGACGGGGACAGCGGTAAAGTTGGGCGGGGGCTGCCTGCTCGGGAACTGAGGGCAGAGCGCACGACCCGAGGGGCACGCCACACTCCCACCCGGGTAAAATCGGGACTTTACGGACTCAGAACGGAACAACATGTCCTACGAGGCCCAATTGCGAATTCAAAGGCAAACTTGCTGGATGGCCAGTTACCCTGACCTGACACGACACATGGTGTTCCGGTAATGAAAGCCACACTGTACCCATGAACATGTCCAATCGCTGTGTCAACACAAGTTAAAAAATATGTACTCAAAACAAGCTCAAGACACTGGCCTCCAGGGAAGAGGATGGAGGAGGGCAGGGGTGAAAGGGAGCAAATGGGGGGCACTGCGATCTCCACACCTCACAAGGCTCGGACAGCGTGTGCAACGGGAAGGGGCACCTGGGAGCCCCACAGGAGCAGGGCACGGCCGGACGCCCTGGAGTCAAAGTCTAGCACCACAATGCGTGAGGAGCAGGACACACCTCGGGGTCCTCCAAACTCCCACTGATTACGTACTAGCTTTTTAAAACACAGAATTACAGTTTCTTAGTACTATCACACCATCTTAGTACTCAGTACTGTCTATATTATTTTAGTACGTAGTACTGTCACATTACCTAGGTAGTTAGTACTATCACACCATCTTTTTTTTTGTTTGTTTGTTTGTTTTCTGGTACCAGGGATTGAACTCACAACCTTGCGCTTGCCAGGCAGGCGCTGTGCCGCTGAGCTAAATCCCCAGCCCCTGTCACACCATCTTAACTGTCACTAACTTAGTACTTAGTACTGCCTCATCCTAGTACTTAGTACTGTCACATTATCTTAGTACTTAGTACCGTCACACTACATTAGTACTGTCTATATTATCTTAGTACTCAGTACTGCCACATTATCTAGGTACTTAGTACTGTCATACTACCTTAGTACTGTCTACATTATCTTAGTACTTAGTACTGTCACATTATCTAGGTACTTAATATTGTCACACTATCTTAGTACTTAGTACTGTCTATCTTAGTACTTGGTACTGTCACTCTAGTACTGTCACATTATTTTTGACACAGATATCACTGGTAAGAGTATGACCATGTCCATGGGAATGAACTATTTCTGTTTTGGCAATAAAGGAAACAGAACTTTAAAAAAAATGTTTACAAGAGGACACAGAATGGTGCTTTTCTGGGTAGCTTCTGAGAAGGAAGGTTTATAAGTTTCAGAGGCTATTTTTCAAACTGTCTGGGCTCGCTCCCCTTGACCACTCTGAAACGACACAGGACAGGCCAACAGCCGGCTGTGCGGCTCCGGACTCAGATTAACCTCACAGCCAAGTGCGGAAAGACCACGCTAAACGCCACCCTCAGTCCCTCCCAATCTCTTGTACACAGTACTCACTGAGATAGAAGGAAACAGACCGCAGGGGCCAAGCTCAGGCTTGGATTGGAAACACCGGCAGCCCAGCTCCGGCTGCCCGGCCAGCAGCAACCCTGGGGCACGCGGCCGAGCCCCTGGGTCCTGGCCCGCCACCCCCCGCCCCATTTCTCAGCTATTGCTGCGAGGGTCAACAGATGAAAAACTGCCGACGCGGGCTCGGGGCCAGGCTGACACCTCCTGCGTGAGGACAACCGGAGGTCGGGAGGCGGCTCTGGACAGCAGCGGGACACTGGGCTGCGACACGACGCGTGGCCGAGCCCCACCTGGACTTTGTGGAACATCTGCAGATTGATCGCTTTGACCTCTTCCAGCTGCTGGCGCAGGGCGATGAGCGTGTCCTGCTTCTCGTGGGTGTCCTTTTCTAGTAACTTCATGGCGATTTCCATTTCAGTTTTCATTCCGATTTGTAATTCCAGTTCTTTTTCTAGTTCCTTTAGAGGACATTTGTGAGGAAAATGCTGTTAAAGCAGATTCAGATCTTATTAAACTGATCTTGAATCTTGGGCCACGACTAAGTACACGCGGCAGGGGAGGACGGGTGTGGGAGGCTGAGCGGTCCGCAGCCTCACTGAGAGAGTTTCTGCCTTCCTCGCTGGACAGTGACAGCTCGCTCTGCGTTAGGTCAGCAGCGGGTCTGGGAACAGGAGCCCGGAGCACAGCACCAGCCCCCTGCCCAGCTCAGCCTGTGTTGTGCTCCAGCAGGAAGAGCCCCGAGGGTGTGATGCGATTGGACCACCATTCGGAAATGGTTCTCTGCCCCCAGCAACTCAGGACACACGGCTCCACAGGCCCTCGAAGAAGCACAGGACTGGAGCAGGCCTAAGAACTGGGCTTAAGGAAGAACCTGGCCGCTGAGCCACAGACTGTGGAAATGAACAGGCCAGCGGTTACGCTGAGAACAGCACTGCTGAAGAAACTCTCAGTGCCACAGTGGCCTCTAAAAAGGTTTATAGGAGGCAGGAGGATCGTCACAAGTGTGAGACCAGCCTGGGCTGCAAAGTGAGCTCAAGGCCAGCCTGAACTGCATAGCGAGGCCCTGTCTCAAAAAGACAAAACAAAAACAAAAACAAAAAAACAAACCCAGAAAAAAACAAAAGGTTTATAAAATGAGAACGAAACGTGAGTGACAATGCAGAACGGAAAAAGCCTGCCTCTGGCTCTTGGGGAGCGTCCGGGCCGCAGCACACACTGCTCGGAGGGCGGCGGGGACCCCACCCCAGGACGCAGCAGTGCCGCTCACGCTCACCAGCCGCACTTTCTTCTCCTCCTTCAGCTGCTTCCACACGTCGCTGTACATCTCGTCCAGCCCCTGCCGGGTCTGCTTGTACGTCTCCAGCTCAACTTTGGTGTCCTGTTTGGTTATCTGTGTGGAGAACACCAGGAGCAGTGGTTTCCTTGCAGACAGCAAACCAGCTACACAGTACAGTATGAAAAAGACGCCACACTTCTGAAAACGTGCGATGATTTCTACCTTTCAAGCATAATATGGAAAGTTTAAAATTTTAACGAGATTGTAATTTGGACATGAAGGATGAGAGTGCGTCTTTTGTGTGTGTTTGTTTTTTTGAGACAGGGTCTCATTATGCAGGCTGGCCTCGAATTCATGGCGATGCTCCATCCTCCTGCCTCAGCCTCCTGAGTGCTGGTATTACAGGTGTGCACCACTATGCTCAGCAAGTCGACAGATTTTTAAACCGCATGTGGTGCACGCCTGTAATCCCAGCACTCGGGAGGCTGAGGCGGGAGATCATTGAGTTTGAGACCAGCCGAGGCTACAAAGTGAGCTCCAGGCATGGCAAGACCCTGTCTCAAAAAGACAAAAAAGATTTTTGAAAGGACAAGGTTTGTGTAGCAATTTAATTTTCTTTAAAACAGGCCAACAGTTCCTAGCAGGAAACGCTCGGCCAACCTACCACTCCACGTTCACTGACCCTGCTCGACTTAGCACTGATGGTGCGTGTGGCTCAGACTCAGCCTGCAATGCAGGGAGTCAGCGCTGCAGCTGAAAGCTCGTGGCCTACGCTGCAGGGCGGTGAAAGGCCCACGCCCCTCTACACCACCAGGCACAGCTCTGCGGGGCTCAGAGCGGACAGGCAGGGACTCGGCGTGCAGGGCCGGGTGGGGCGGGCCAGGGGACACGAGTGGGGGCAGAGCGGAGGCTGTGGGACCTCATGGGGACCTCTGCACACTCGGGGGCCACCCTGGAGTTGTAGGCTCCGTGTCAGGGGACTCAATGGACTATAGCCTGGAAGCATCTAGAGCGACCGTCTCCAGGAACACGGACCCTGTCCTCGTCCTCAGCACTCCCTGAGCAGGAGCCTGTGATGGCCCACGCAGCGTCTGAGTTGTGCTCCCAGCCTCAGGCAGCCTGGAGGTGACCCGGGGTCCCGGGGGGGTACCCTCTGCCCCGGGGGGCCTGCATGGAGCAGCACAGGCTGCGGAGCGGGCGGTGAGCTGGTGGGGACGGGGTGCGCGGGAGTCCAGGCTCTCACCTCCACGTGCTTCTCACTCCGCTCCCGAATCAACTCGTTCTGTTCTCTCAGCTGCTGCTGTTCTTCCTGAAGCGAACAGATCCTGTCTGTTGCAGCTGAAAGCTGATAAAGAAAGGTTTTTACATTTCTTAACATCCAAATCATTCTTACCATTCAAATTAAATACAAACTCCCTGGCATCGTGAGGATTTACTATGTACTTGGACATGCCTGATAATTTACTTTGTTTCCTTATTTTGAATAGGGAATACGCAGTCCAAAACTTGTCTACACTAAGATCTCTTTCCCATCACCCCTGTCCCCTTGCCGTCACTGCCCTCCCCAGAATCTCTTTCATTTACAAAAACAGTAACATACCACTTCATGTGGGCAATGATTCAGGGACACAAAAAAGTTAGAAATAGCCAGGCGTGGTGGCCCAGCCTTACAATCTCAGTGGTCAGGAGGCTGAGGCGGGAGGATTGCTTCACGTTTGAGGCCAGCCTGGGCTCCACAGTGAGTTCAAGGCCAGCCTGCACTACATAGCCATATCTTGTCCCAGAAGAATGAAAAACAAACAAAAACCAAAAAGTTAGAAACTGGGGCTGGGGATTTAGCTCAGTGGCAAAGCGCCTGCCTGGCAAGGGTAAGGTCGTGAGTTCGGTTCCCGGTACCAGAGAAAAACCAAAAAAAAAAAAAAAAAAAAAAAAAAAAAAAAAAAAAAAAAAAAAAAAAAAAAAAAAAAAAAAAAAAAAAGTTAGAAACTACCTGAATGTCCATTATTAGAGAAATGGTTGTACAGATTCCAATGGAAGCAAAACCAGAAACATATAATTATATAAATGTTTACAAAAATTTTTGGTGACCTGAGAACATATTTATAATACCCATAGGAAAAAAAAAAGCTGGTGATGGAGTATGTGCTCATCTATAAATTTTACAAAGTCAATTAGAATGAAAACCGTTAAGGACAGAGGGGGCCTAGCTGTACAAATGCTAGAAAAACCGTCACTTAGCAAAAGGGTTATGGGCTTTCTTTGATTGGCCACGCTTTTTCAGTTTTTCTGAGAAGGCAAAGTATTTTTATCACTAGCAAGAGAATGAAGATCCCAGGGAGGGGAGCTGACCGCAGACCAACGGCGCCCGGGCTGGGCGGAGCCCTCCTCCCCAGGATGTGCTCCGTGGCGGAGGGAAGCCCGCAGCAGCTCCGTGCGCTCACGGGCCTGCCTAACGAGAGGGCACCGTGCGCAGCCGGGGAGACGTGCACACAGCGGCCAGCCCTCCACCTTCTGCCTCAGCACGCGGCCCACAGAGGTAAGGGGAGGCTGGAGAGGTGCAAGACGACAACCTCTGCTTCAGGACTTGGCCTGTTCTTGGCTCAGCCCCCGTGGCGGGAGGGACTGTGAGCCTCTCAAGGCCTGTCTGCTGTGGCAACAGCACCTTAAGCCCGTCGGAGAGACCTTGCACTGGAGCTGCCTGGGGTTTCTAAGCAGCTGCCTGAAAGGCAGTGTTAGCTGTCCAAAGGGAAGACGGAGGCCAAGTGGGGAGGGGCGCTTGCTCTGAGGCACTTCTCTCACAAGCATTAGCCTGCGGGAACCCCCCTGTCCAGCTTCACCTGGAAGCCAGACCCTTCAGTCAAAGTAGGCCACCTGGTCCAAGCAAACAAAGAGCAGTAAATCAGCCACCTCTTGCAGCACCCACCCAGAGGCCGGGCACCTGATTTCATTTCACAACACCACGAAGTATGTGTTATCAGCTAACCTGGAGGCAAAGGCCCGTCTACCAGCCAAGGCGAACGCGACCCCTCGCCGGCTAAGCTCAAGGACGCCTTCTCTGGTGAGGCCCTCACCTCAGGATACTGTCTCTGAATCTTCCACTGCCACAGATCTCAGCTGCTCCCCTGGAAGCCGCCCCTCAGGAGAGAAGTCAGTCTTAGCGTGGCCTAGCGCAGGCCCACTGTCACAAAGGTGTGCTTTCAACTGTCTTCTCAGGCTGTCTCCTGCCTCCATGCAGTGGAGTGATCCTTTCTGAGCCCCTCTCGAAGCCCTCATCCTCCCTATGAAACTAGCGAGGGGATCTGAGCAGCCAGGGACTGCTCCCTGAGGAAAGTCTCAGAGAGGCCGAGCACCGCCCGCAGCTAACGGAGACAGGATGCGTCCACCACAGAGACGGCCGGGAGGCTGGAGCAAGCTATCTCGCTCGGCCTCAGCCCTCCTTCTTCCTGTCCTCCCTCTCTTCCTAGTGAGAAAGCAGAGAAGGAGCAGGCTGTGGGCCTGGTCCAACTCATGGCCAGCGTCCTGCCTCAGCCTCCTGAGTCCTGGCATGGGCCACCATGCCTGGCTTCCTCTTAAATCTGAGCGGCCCAGATGCAAGGGTGGGCCAGGTGCCTCGCCACAGAGCCTGACTTCCAGGGTGGCAGCACTGTCAGGAAAGCGGCAGAAGGGGAAGCGGCTGTGCACCCGCCGTGTACCTGCTGGGGGCTGGTTCCCACAAGCAGTGGCTCTGAGGGGTAGACCCTGGCCCTGAGGTGACAGAACCTGCCCCTGAGACTGGCTCCTGCCCACTGCAGGGCCTCCCCGGGAGCCCGCTGGGGTCCAGCAGCTGGCCGAGGTCACCACATCACTGCCCTGGCAGCCAGCAGCTCCGGTAGTATCACCAACTACACCGTTTCCTTACTCTTGGAGCCTTTGGTTTTGCTTAAGAATTTCAACTTACAAACCTCTTCTTGAAGCTTTGAGTTCATCTTCTCCAAGCCATCGATCTTGGTCTGAAGATCCCCAACGGTGCAGCTATGGGAAATACAATTAGGTAAACCTGAGCCTCTGAAAGCCGACTGTTTCCGTAGCCAGTGAACTATGAGAAGAGAGATTCCACACTTCCTGTGTGAAACTGAAAAGCAGCGACACACAGTTCTCTCAGGGTAGACGGGAACTCTAAATACACGTGTACACATACTTTGATGACTTTGATCCCTAAAATGTGTTAGTCAATCCTATTTTAGCCAGTTTGAAAGAAAACATTTTCCCTTCAATCCCACAGATGATGGAGAGACAAAACGTGCCGGGATTCATGCATCTGAATAATATTCCTAACAAGATACTGGTACTTTTGTACAGTAGAAACGTGATTTTTTTGGTTTAATTAAGCTTATCGGTACAGTTTAGGTTTACATAGTACGCACATTCATCACAGGGAATTTGGACTTGCACACGATATATCCTGATTCCTCTTTTTTTCCTTCCAATTCCATCCCTTTCTTTCAAACCCCTCTCCACTTCACAAAGCTCAACCTAACGTGATTTTTGCTTTTATGCTTTCAGTTTTGAAATATTCCTTAAAAGTGCTTTTATATTGAAAATGTAAAGAGCTAGTGTAATTATTCAAGAAACAGGGTAAAAAATAATAATCCCCAGGGTGGCGTAGCCCCCACCTCTTGACGACATGCCACCCCTCGGTGTCCTCCGCGCTTTAAAGGTGTCGCTCACTTCACCCTCACTCTTGTGGAGCAGCAGATCCCACTGCTCATGTTTTCACGGAGGAAGAAACCCTAACCTACATCGCTACTCACTCAGGCTCACACAGCTACCCTCCCATCTTTCCGGTTTTTTGAGACAAAGTCTCTGTAATTCAGGCTGGCCCTGTACTCAATATGGAGCCCAGGCTGCAACCCTCCTGCCTCAGCCTCTTTTGTGCTAGGATTACACGTGTGCACTACCATACCTGGCCTCTCCTTTGTTGTACTGGGATTAAACCCTGGGCCTCAAGCATGCTGAGCAAGTGGGCTACCAGTGAACCACACCCCCCGCCTCTTTTTTAGTTCTTTTGGGTTTTTTTTTTCCTGGTACTGGGAATCGAACTCACGACCTTGTGCTTGCCAGGCAGGCGCTGTGCCACTGAGCTAAATCCCCAGCCCCCTTTTGGTTTTTTTTTGAGACAAAGTCTCACTGTGCAGTTCAGACTGGCCTTGAACTCACTGTGTAGCCCAGGCTGGCCTCCAACTCATGGCCATCGTCGTGCCTCAGCCTCCTGAGTGCTGGGATTACAGGCATGTGTCACCATGACTGGCTTCCCCTTTAGTTTTTAAACTTTATTTTATTTTAAATGTTTATTTCATCTCCCCCTCCATTTTAAATTCAAGTTCACACATTTATGAAGGGCTGTGAGCATCTGAACCCAAAGGCTCTTGCACCAGAGCCAGTAATTCAGGCAACAGATCAGACTAGTCCCTGCCAGTATGAGATAAAACAGCAGAGCCCATGAATCAAGGCTCAGGAAGTAGATGGGAAAAAAATCACATGCAAAATGAAAAAGGGAAAAAAAACCCAAAAGATGTGGAAGGAATGAAATATTTCAAGAGTATCCAATTATCAACTGACCACCAACTATATAGCTTAGAAAATATCAATAATTTACTTTAATTATTTTATATTAAAAACAGCAACAATATTTTTTCTATGAAAACTGTAAATTACAACAACAGCAAAAAGACATGTCCTCAGGAAGATGCACTGGCTGGCTCTCCGTAAGTGTACTGGGAAAAAAATGCCAGCTTGTTTGTTTTGCTGGCTTCTGGGGTCACGGAGCTTTCACAGGGAAGCTAATGCGCAACATACTTTCTAGAAGCGGGTTCAGAGACACAATGATACGCCTTCCAAAACCATCAGGCCAAGAGTCCACCCCTTCCCTACCAAAACCTCCAGGGACTAGTGTTCAAGAAGCACAATCAGTAGCTTCCCAGCTAAAATTAAAAAAAAAACAAACAACATTTGCGTGTGCTCATGACCACACGGACCTAGAAGGTCCGGCCGGGCCTCTGCGGTGGTTTCCTGCCAGCTGTCTCAGGAGGCTGGGTGCCGCCCCGCAGCAGGGCCGGCCGCCAGCCGCAGGCTGCCAGTGAGGCTGTGTCCCACCTCTCTACGCCGTGTTCCTGTACGGAGAAGCTAGGGTCCCCCGGAACTGGCTCCCAAGGAGAAACCCCACTGCTGCAGTCTGTACACACCGGGGGTGCCTGGGTGAGTACGTCTTTTTTTCTTGGTTTGGAGAAAAGCGGGTTACGAATGTGTGTCACTGAAACAAGCTCTAGAAAACACCGCGTCGACAGCACACTGAGGAGCACCGGGCAAGGGGAGCGGGGCCCACCTCAAGTGCCGGTTGAGCTCTTCCACGTAGTTCTTCTGATCAAGGACGTCAGTGATCCTCTCGTGCCTTGTAAAAGGAGCAGAGAAAGGAGGGAGTTTTTACGCTCATGGTTAAGACTATGAACCGCTCCGCTGTCTTCTGATCACCTTGCAGAAGTAGCAGAGCTCACTGCCGGGCAGTGTCCACAGTGTCCTGCCGTGAGCGGCGTGCCAGGCCGGCTGGCCGAGGACTCAGCGGCAGGACCTGGACAGGACGCCCTGGAGCACGGGCTCTGGGGTGGAGAGGGGACTGCGGGCATGCATGAGCAGGGAGCCCCAGCCTGCCACACCAGCAGCTCCGCAAGAGGCTCCTGGCCCTCCTACCACGTGGAAGGAAAGTGGTCAGCTCACTCGGGAGAGGACCAAGAGACTTCTTAAAACACAAAGCTGAGCAGTCTAAAAGCCAGAGTTTAGACTTTTAACATTCCGGCTCTTCCTATAATTTCTTTCCTTTCCCTTTTTTGAGATAACAGCCTCGTTATGAGCTGGGCATGGTGGCGCACGCCTGTAATCCCAGCACTTGGGAGGCTGAGGCAGGAGGATCATTGTGGGTTTGAGACTAGCCTGGGCTACAAAGTGAGCTCAAGGCCAGCCTGAACTGCACAGTGAGACTCTGTCTCAAAAAGACCAAAAAAAAAAAAAGAAAAGAGTCTCGTTATATAGTCCAGGTTGCTCTTGAACTCACTATGTAGCTTAGATTAGCCTTGAACTCTTGATGATCCTCCTGCCTCAGCTTCTCCAGTGCTGGGATTGTGGGCGTGTTCTACTACCCCAGCTCTCCCTAGAGTCTCTAAACCCATATGTTTGCAATTTACAGAAATGGGATCATCCTCTATAATTCATGCCATAGCTGCTGGATTTGTTCTTTATCTTTTATATTTTGAGACAGGGTCTTGGCAAGCTGTTAAGCTGCCCCACTTGGCCTTGAACTCACAATCCTTTCCCCTCAGCCCCCTGAGAAGCTGAGAGTACAGGCATTCACAGTTTTTCTATGAAGTTCTTTTTTCTTGAACCTCTTCTACCTTTTACATAGCTCTCTCAGGCAACCCACTATTAATACACACAGTATTCATAATTAAAATATGAAGTATATGTCAGAGTTTTCAAAGCAAAAACAATAGTGCTCTTTGCCAGAATTTCATTAAAACGGAAACGAACAACAGTGTCCCACGCAGTACTTACTCTTTGCTACCATCAAGATCCTGTACATCCTTAAGGTAGAGGGAGAAATCGATTACTCCAACCTGGCAGAAACGAAATGTGCAGGTTTAGTAAAAGATAGCGTTTCTTTTTTCCTACAAGCCCTGCAATTCAGGGTAATCAATACCACAACTGTGTCCAAAGGAGCAGGGAGTTTACACAGATCAGCAAAGTTCTCTGTGTACAAACTACTTTAAAGAGAGAAACCTAGATCTTTAGAGTGGTGACACTTCTGAGTCCTCCACTCGGACTTTGGTGAGATGGTTTAGTCTGTTTTCCAGGGAAAACTGTCACTGCGGGGACCTAGGGAGGACCAAAACTCCTCACCCATCTCAGCTTCAAGGGTTTTATCTCTTCTTCCAGAAGGGAGATGGCTTTGTCAAGAAACAAAGCTTGCGAGAATAGGGGAAGCCATTCCTGTGTGAGACACAGGAACACTGCATGCAACCCAAATGTCTATGTATGAGGAAATATTTAAATCACTCATGTTACATCAGTTATACAGAACTGTAAAGAAGAATGTGGTGGACTGACGTGTAATAATATGTACAAAACCCCAGGACACAATTTGAAGTTAAAGAATGGTAAGTACAGCATTAGCTCCCAAGAGTAATAACCCTTTATGTAAACACCAAGCTGGGTGATGATTTTAAGACACGAATGCACCTTCTCCAAGGTCTATCTCTCACCTACGGGAATCAATCTTATGTTTCCAATCCTGGAACCTGCATGGCCTTAGTTCTAGTTTCGGTAAGTAAATGCAGAAGACACAGTACTATGTGCCTTCTGTGGCTTCCACCTGGCCCTTTCTCTGGGGACACACGCTCTGATGTTAAATGCTGGAGACCCTGTGGGAAGGTCACAGAGACAGAGAGATGCCTGAGAAGCCCCGGCCTCCGGGCTCTGGCGCTGGCCCAGCCCGAGCACAGACGCAGCAGCGAGAACAAGCTTCAGTGACCACCGTCCCGCCACCGTCTGCCTGGGACAAAGGGCGTGCTCACCTGTGAGAGCCACCTCTCTGGAATTCAGTAACCTGACTGTCAGAGACACAGGGGCTACCACTGCTCAGGTGACTGCTGATTCCTTAGACAGGAACAGAGAACCAGGGAAGGGTTAGCTTTACACAGAAGCTATGTATGTACAAAGAAAATCTTACCCGCCCCCGTGGGGGAGAAAGGGCCGAGAGGTAAGGGGACAGGAAGCTTAGGCGCCACTCAGCGCTGTGCACACCTCTGTACCACCCAGGTGTTTCTTCAGCACATACACGCTGTTTGTGTAATAAAACACCACATAATAAACACAGAAATATATTCAACTGGGAAAAAAATACTGAGAGAATTCAAACCTAAGGCAGGTATTAACCAATAAGAAAGCACACCAAGCACACGTGCTGCCCAAGCAGCATCCAAGCTCTGTTACTAATGCAGAACGGACCAACTGAAGCCCGTTCCTCAGAGTTCAGCAAATCAGATCAACCTCTTCCAAGCACGGCCAATACATAACAAGTGTAAATATTACAAAGGAGAGCGGTGAGCTTCCGAAAAGCTGTGACAGCGCTGTCACGTAACTTTAGTTTACAGTATTTGAATGAAATGATTTCAAGGAAAATAGAAATGACTAGAAAATTGTACTAGGAGTTAGAAAATCAATAAATTGACCAAAAATATGCAAAAAATTAAAGTGAAGCTGGGTGTGTTAGTGTCCCTGTAATCCCTGCACTTGGGAGGCTGAGGTGAGAGGATCACTGCAAGTTCAAGGCAAACTGACAGAGAGTTCAAGGTCAGTCTGACTCAAAACAAAAAGAAAAGAAAAGAAAAGAAAACAAAACAAAACCCAAAACCCTCTAATCCAAACTAAACCATACCAAGAAATTAAAGTGGTCAGGCTGGGGATTTAGCTCAGTGGCAAAAGCGCCTGCCTGGCAAGCGCAAGGTCGTGAGTTCGGTTCCTGGTACCGGAGAAAAACCAAAAAAAAAAAAAAAAAAAAAAAAAAAAAAAAAAAAAAAAAAAAGAAATTAAAGTGGTCAGAGAAAGTAGTAGGATCAAAAAAGGCATAAGGCTGACATGGTCGTACAGTAAGTTCTAGCAAACTTTGAAAAACAAACTGTTCTAACAAGGAGAGGAAGAGCAGTATTTTCCTGCTTATTAAGAGTCTCGTGTAACCCCGACACCAGAAGGTGGCGAGGCGGTACAGGAAATTCAGTTTCACTCATGAGCAGAGACGCAGAAATGCGGTGAAACAGCATGACCAGTACACGATGAGCAAGCCGCGTTCATTTTAGGAATGCACGGGTACTATTACAATGGGAAATCTACAAATTAACCCAGTTATCACTGCACAAGAGACACATCCCAACAGATGTGGAAGAAGGCTGAGCACGCCCCTGGCCCAGGCAGATGGTGGCGGGACAGGGGTCACTGTAGCCTGTGCTCTCTGCTGCGTCTGTGCTCATTCTATGCTCACTCCTACTAAAACACTGAAACAGCAAGTGCTTCCTCAGCACGAGAAAGAGTGTCCTCAGACACCAACAGGACCAGCACTGCCTTCTGACAGGAGGTGAGGGTGCCGGTGCACAGCTGTCATTTACACAGATCTCAGTGGGATTTCTATCTTGGAGTTTGACAAATAATGTCCAAATAGCCCAGGCAGAACGGACAGCCGAGAAACACGTGCAGAAGAGGTGTAGCAACACTGCAGCCGGTCAGGGTCACGGTGTGGGATGTGCTAGGGTAAGAAGGGGCGCAGGAACAGAGGCCAGAGGCCAGAGGCCAGGGGTAACTCTAGCAGGCCGTGGACAGCTCAAGTATGACACAGGGACTCCAAACTAGTAGAAGAACTATTTAATAGATGATTTTGAGAAAACTGGTTTATTATTTGTAAACCTAGATTCCTACTTCATATTATGTCAAAACAAATGATGGATTATTTAACTGTAAAATATACACATTTGATTAAAAAAATTAAACCAGACACAGGGCTCACCCTGTACTCCTGGCTACCTTGGAGGCGGAGGCAGGAGAAATCACAAGTCCTGGGCCAATCTGGGCAACTTAGTGAGACCCTGTCTCACTAAACTTTTAAAAAGGGGGCGCGCTGGGGCTGCAGCTCAGTGGTAAAGTGCCTGCCCAGCACGCACGCCAAACACAAAACAGCCACAACCCAGTGCTGATGTGGACGTGGAGGGGAAGCTCTAGGTTCTTCGGGTCCAAACGCATGGCTACTGGTGACCTGAATGGGGCCCCGTGTCCGTCTCCTCACACACGCCCGGTCCCTGGCCCCAGAGTTGAGAGCCTCAGCCCTGGCTGCTGGTTCCTTAGGAAGAAAGATCGCCGAGGGCCGCCCCTCCCCACGGGGTGCTGCCCCATCTGGCACTGTGACTCCAGACTGCCACCGCATCCACCCTTCGGCACTTGAGTCTCCTCAAAGCTCCCGCTGTCTCTGCTGCAGCCACTTCGAACTTACGACCTGCACCACTGCTGGGCTGAGCTCTTCAAACCAGACCGTGTCAGTGCAGTGCTTCCAATGGCAGGGGCCTCTCCCAGCCCAGGTGAGGCAAACCCCGGAGCCTTTCCCAGTGGCCTCTCTGGCCGGCACGGCACTGTGCAGGCCTCTGTCACAGAGTCCCTCCCAGGACCCTACCGTGGCTCACCACCTCCCTGCAGCCCTCGTGTGAATTCCCTGTCCTAATGCATCCCACCTGGAGCTGGGGTCCCGTTTACCTGGGAATCCAAGTCTTCCCCTTTTAGGCAGAGGTTGGCATCGAGGACATTGAGTCCCACCAGCAGCCCGACGAGCACCGACCCTTCTTCCTCCATGAGCAGCGCCTCAGGCTCGTAGAACTCGCTGAAAGAGACCGCTAGCCAGGGAAGGTGGCTCCGCTCCCGGCACTTCCCTTTCCCCTCACTTCCTTCCACGTGGCAGGTGCTACCATTTCCAGGTCGTCCCTGCTACAGTTTGATTTTCTGAGATGGGGCCTTGCTCTGCTGCCCAGGCTGGTCTTGAACTCACAGCGCCTCGCCTCTGCAGCCTGAGCAGTGAGGCTCTGGGTGCCGAGTACTCCCTGAACGCCGTGCCACGAGGGGCTGCACCCCTGCAGGACGGTGCCCGAGGCGGGGCCTGCTGAGCCCTGTCCTCTGCCTCTGGCCAGCAAGTGGACAGTGTCTACCCACCGTGTGGGCTCCGGGCCAACTGATCACGCCCTGCAGCCCCTATAACTTGTGAGCCAAACAGAACCCTTTTCTCGGCCTAAGGTGATTATCTCAGGCGCTCTGATGGTGCCGAACAGCTGCAGAGTGTGCACCCTCTCCTTTCCGCCCATGCCCTAGGATGGACGAATTCACCTGGCTGAAACCGCCTCATTTGGGTCCTGGACTCCAGTCCCTCTTCTCTCCTGTGGACCTGCACTCCTGCCCAGCGCTCTGTCTCTGCCGCCTCCACTGGCTCCTCTTCCATACCCGGGCCCCGACCCCTGCACGCTCAGAAACACCCCCCACAGCCAAGGACAGAGCTCCTTCCTCCTCCTGCTCCCCTGGTCACCTCGGCATACACAGCGGGCCCCACCCCGCTGTCCACTGCTACTTCTGGTCACCAATGGTTGACCAGTCTGTGGAATCCAGGGGTTCCCAGGCCACTGCATGCGTGTGCGCGTGCATGAGAAAGAACTTATTAATGATTCCTTCTTTAGGACAGAATCTGCAACTCAGAATTATTCAGTGTAATAAGACTGAGTACACAATACAGAAATCAGTATTCATCAGTTGGGAGGGGTGGTACTTCCCTGTATTTCAGCATACCGGGAGGCAGACAGGGGGATCGCAAGTTTGTACCCAGCCTGGGGAACTTGTTGACCTAATGAGACACTGTCTCAACAAAAAGGGCTGGGGATGCAGCTCAATGCAAAGATCCTGGCTTCAATCTCAGAACTTAAACCCATCCCTAAGAAAAACTAAAAAGAAAACCTAAAATCAACCCCCCTCCATAAAAAGCAACCATACATTTCTGTGATAGCCACTTTAAATTTTTCCTGATAAGCAGGGCGTGGTAGCACAAGCCTGTAATCCTAGCACTCAGGAGGCTGAGGCAGGAGGATCCTTGTGAGTTCAAGGCCAGCCTGGGCTACAAAGTGAGCTCAAGGCCAGCCTGAACTGCATAGTGAGACCCTGTCTTACAAGACCAAAAAAAAAAAAAATTTTTTTTACTGATAAGAGGTATAAAATTTCATAATCTGGGTATGTGCTTTTTTTTCATCTTTTTGAGACAGGGTCTCGCTATGCAGTTCAGGCTGGCCTTAAGCTCACTTTGTAGCCTAGGCTGGCCTCAAACTCGAAACGATCCTCCTGCCTCAGCCTCCTGAGTGCTGGGATTACAGATGTGTGCCACCATGCCCGGCTAATAAGCTGGATATGGACTCCTGACTTTTTTTTTTTCTTTTTTTCTTTTTTGGGTACCAGGAATCAAACTCATGACCTCAGGCTTGAGGACTCCTGAATTGGCTAATTGGTGTACTGTTTTACAAAAAGCAGGATTTTGTATTTTGAAAGTGTCCCCTGCTGTCTCCAGAAGACAAAAACAAACAAACAAACATGCCAGAACTGGGCCTGGTGGCGCACACCTATAATCCCAGCTCTCAGGACGCTGAGGCAGGAGGATTACTGCGAGTGTGAGACCAGCCTGGGCTACAAAGTGAGCTCAAGGTCAGCCTGAACTGCATAGTGAGACCCTATCTCAAAAAGACCAAAAAAAAAAAAAAAAGAAAAAAGAAAAAAGAAAAGACAACTGTCCCCTGTAACAGCTGGGCATTGCGGCACACACCTATAATCCTAGCACTCAGGAGGCTGAGGCAGAAGCACTGTGAGCTGGAGGCCAGCCTAGATTAGACAGAAAATTCACGGCTGGCCTGGACAGCATGGCGAGACTCAAAAACCAGAAAACACAACCACAAAAGAGGACAACTGTCCGCTACACCTAGTTCTGATGTAACTTTTTAATCTAATGTTTGTTTTGGGTTTTTTTTGGTTTTTCTCCGGTACCGGGAACCGAACTCACGACCTTGCGCTTGCCAGTCAGGCGCTTTTGCCGCTGAGCTAAATCCCCAGCCCCACTTTTTAATCTAATGTAATAAATATAATTTCAAAAATATATAATTTCACTGAAGCTTAATGGAATAGACTGTCAATTACTAACTCTTAGGTATTAACATTTTTGAAGAATTATTTTCAAAATTTTTCCAAAATAAAGTTATATGAATGTTCATTCATAACGATGTTTAGAGATCAGTGTTCAGAAAAGAAACCAGCATTGCCATTTTAAAACTAAGCCATAGAATACTTAAGATTAACAATAATTTCAATCAAAGCTGTAAACACTACATACTTTTTTTTGTCTTTTTGAGACAGGGTGTTGCCATGCAGTTCAGGCTGGCCTTGAGCTCACTCTGTAGCCCAGGCTGGCCTTGAACTTGCAGAGATCCTCCTGTATCAGCCTCCAGAGTGCTGGGATTAAGGTGTGTGCCACCATGCCCAGCTTATATACTCTTATTTTAATTCAAAAGGACCTACAGAATTGTGTTGTCATTATTTATGAAGCAAAAACAGAGACAAGCAGTGCAATACCTTAAGAGATGCTTATTGTCTATCAGCACCTTCAGATAATCTGCCAGCTTCTTTTGCATGAGGGCCAGATAGAGCCAAGCTCGGCCTCTCCCCACTGCAGTCCTGGAATTCAAACAGAGAACAAGCTGTGTGGTGGGACGACAACAGACACAGAAAGCCGCACCCCAGTTCAGTCAGGGATGCACCGATTTACACACGCCTCCGGAGCGCACAGCCGAGTGCCCAAGAACGCTGCTGAGTCAGGGCGATGTGCACCAAGGGGCCAGCGGAGGAAGTACCACACACACCTCTGGGGACTGTTGGAGTCTGCACCCTAAGCATGTGCCCTTTGTCTTTTTTTTTTTCCCAACAAAAGGAAAAAATCTTAAGCCATAAAATTCTGATTTGTAGAACAAATATGATTAGATAGGACTCTGCATACATAAGATTTCACAGCAAGCTGGGAAACACAAGGCTAGACTGGCACGATGGACTCTCTTTCAAAAGATGGACACAGAGCACAGTGCACGGCAGTGCCGAAGCCTTGAGGACCACTAAGGCACTGGCTAAGCTTTTACGATGAGCTGTATTTTCAACTGTGGTAAACTGCACACAGCATAAAGTTTTCTACAGCAGTGTCTTCCGGCACAGCGTCAGCACGCAGACCATCATGTCTCTGTGCAACCGGTCTCAAAGCTGCAGATTTGAAAAGGCCCACACTGCTCATGAGAAGAGAAAGCTTCTACCCATAGAACTAAAACTGTTTTAAGGAAAAAGAGATTTTGTTCTAAGCAGAGTAACTGCATGAGTAACAACTCTACGGTTAATAATCTACATGAACGGACGCTTGCAGGGCCGAAGACCTAGCTAGACGTGGCTCAGAAGCCAGGCTCAGAAGGGTTCACCCAATTTCAAGAATAAATGATGCTAAACCACAGTAAAAAAGGAGGAGACAAAGATATGCAATGTTGGCATGGTAGGAAAAATAAAGGTTGAGATACGCAGCTTAGGAAGCATGTGAAGTGGTACAACTTTTCTGGCTGAGAATCTGATGACAACAGATTTCAAAATTCAACATCTAGCAATTTGCACTAAAGTGCAAACACACTTAGGACAGACACAAAAATTATGTTTGGGGATGGTGACCAATCACTGTGAGAATATAATGAGAATATGAGAACAACTGCAAAGCCCACATGAACATTTTAAAAATTAACTATACAACAGAATCCGGTGTGGCCCCTTACAAACGATGGTATGAGCTGGGGTGTGTGATGTGAGGTGCAGTGGAGTATGACCGTGACCCTAGTGACTGGGCAGGACGATCACAAGTTTGCGGCAAATCTGGCAACTTAATAAGACTCTGTCTGAAGATAAAAAATAAAAACAGCTGTGGATATAGCTTAGTAGTAAAGCACCCCTGGGTCAGATCCCCAATATGGAAAAAAAAGAGAAAGAAAAAAAAAAGATGCTATGCATAAAGAAATACTGAATGTCTGAAGAGACAGGTGTCACCCCCAGCTGATCACCACACATACACAGGCAGTGCAAGGCCACACTGGATGTCCGCTACCCACATGTACGACTACTGTGTCAGATACAGAACATGTATTAATAGTGCAGGCCTGTAATCTCAGCATGGGGGAGGCTGAGACAGGAGGATAGCTGTGAGTTTGAGGCCATCCAAAGGTATACGGAGAGTTCAAGGCCAGTCTGAACTAATAGTGAGACCGTGTCTCAAAAACAAAACCAAACAACCTGCTGCAAAAGAATATGACTAATAAAGGGCTGACAATGTAGCTCAGTGGCATAAGTGCCTGCCTGGCAAGACTGAGGTCATGAGTTCAATTCCCAGTACCAAAAAAAAAGAATATGACTAATAAAAAAGATGTGGATGACTATTTGACATGAGATTAAAATCTAAAATTAAGTGGAAAAAACTATAAAACAGTATGTACACTTTATAAATACTAAACTTTTTGCTGTTTTTGGAATAGGCAATGATACGTGCACCTGGTTTAAAGCCAGAAGTACTGTATGAAAACCACTCAGTTCCAACTCTTTCTGGATCTTTTTTTTTTTTCTTTCCCGGTACCGGGAATTGAACTCATGACCTTGCACTTGCCAGGCAGGCACTGTGCCGCTGAGCTAAATTCCCAGCCCCTCTTTCTGGATCTTGTCCTCTGTTTCCTGTCCCTCTTCTGCATCCATTAACACAATTTCTAGTTCAGGTTCTCCTATGTGAAAACAACTGCAAACTCTTCTCTTTCTCCTTTTTATGAACCAAAGCCAAAACCACGCCTTCGGCAATATGCGTCCTTCACAGAGTCTCTGTCATCCTGAAAATCTTTCAGCACACGGAGAACTTCCTCACAGCTTCAGTGACTCACTTATGAACCTCTGGTCCCAATCTGCTGTCACCAATAATGCTGTAGCAGGTAGTTAGAATTTCTTCTCTTTGACGGGATCTTCAGATGTCGTCCAGCTGGTCCTGAACTGCTTGGCTCAAGTGATCCTCAGGTGCCAGCCCCCAAGCAGTGGAGACTGCATGTGCCACTGTGTCACGTGTTCCATCGGCAGGGATGGCCTGGGGTGGGAGTGTGGGTTGGAGCAGATCCATCTGTAATCCTGGTGGGCAGTGCTAAACTGTCCTCAGCTGAATGAGTGCAGTATGATGCGCTGGGGGATAAAATACAGAATCTCATCTGTCTGTCTGACTGACATACAGCACAAGGATCCAGAAGGACTCTGACTAAGATATATTTCTTCTCTCCTTTGCCCTTTTTTGGGGGGTGCTGGGGACTGAACCTAGGGTCTTGTGGAAGAGCTATTACCCTCAACCCTAAGTAGTATTATTCCTTGGTTGTAGGGTAATGGAAGAAGTACACAGTTTCAGTTTGTTTCCGGCTTGCTTTTATTTCCTAATTAAAAATCAAGCAATTAGAAAAAAATGTTTTTACTTTTCAAAAGAAAGAGCAGTCTTGCCTGGTCTAAGAGCCAGTGTTTGCAGCTGGGATCTATTCTGTAAAGCTATGTGCAGTAAAAAACGCGGCATGAAAACAGTGAGCCATTTAGGCAATAGGTCATGCTATGAAACATATTTTTAAAGTCTCAATTAGTGTTTTTGTTTTGTTTTTTTGGTATTGGGAATCAAACTCAGGACCTTGCACTTGCCAGGCAGGCGCTGTGCCGCTGAGCTATATCCCCGGCCCAAAAATTTCAATTAGAAGAAAGTATTAAACTCTACAAAAAGTCTTCCAAGAAGTGTGAAATTTATCCTGTTTCAAACTATTTAAAATAGTCCTCTATTACCTAGCCCCACAAAAAAATCCCACTAAGTCATAATATTTCCAAAATACCACAGAAATTTTAGAACTTCTCGGCTCCCCCAGGTTCCTCCTAAAAGCATCAAGAGCAGAGAACCAGGGGTCTGGCGTTTTGGCAGACAGGGTGCGGATGTTCAACACTTAGGCTTGTAACCTGCTTAGCAACCAGAGGATTAATGAAATGTGGTGATGTGGTGGATTTGAGGGCAGTGAGCTATTGCTCAGTGTAGTAAAATGTCAAAAATGCCTTCAACTGGGGATGCAGCTCAGGGGTGGGGTGCCTATGAGACTCTGAATGTAGTCCCCAGAACTGAAAAGAAGAGGGCATCAAAAAAATATCTGCTTGCCTGGCATGTTGGCATGCGCCTGTAATCCCAGCACTCGGGAGGTGAGGGAGGAGGATCGTTGCGAGGTCGAGACCAGCCTGGGCTACAAAGTGAGCCCAAGGCCAGCCTGAACTGCATAGTGAGACCCTGTCTCAAAAAGACCAAAAAATCTGAGAAGCTGGAAGTGCAAAGAGCTTTAAACTTACATGGTGGAGGCCCAGAAGGCTGCACTAGCAACAGGGACCAAAGGCCCAAGTCCAGTCTTGAGAAGAACATACATAGCTTGACGACGGTCAAGGTCAGTGAGATTTAAAGGTTGTAAAGCCCAACAGACCAGTGACTTACTCTTGGCTCCACACTCTCTTGCCAAGAGAACTCGGGCAAGTTACTTCACCCATCTAAGTCTGTTTCCACACTTGCCAATGTGGCGCCAGGGGCTACCCCAGAGGATCTGCGCAGAGGATTAGATGAGTTAGTGAAATGCCCTCAGTTCAAAGCCCAGCAGAAAGCAGGTCCTTAGAGTGGTAGCTGTTATTTTCTAAAATCAACAGGCTGCCTCCACAGAAATGTCAAGCAAATGCTGAACATTAGGCCCTTCCACAGAAGACTCTGTGGAGGACTCTTACATCAGCTTATGGATCCCCAGAGCCCCTCAGGAATGCCAGATTCCCTGAAGATCCCTCATTTATGTCCTCTCCAGTTTTTGATTCTGAGAACACGGGGAGTGGTCCCAAGGACAAATCTAGACATGTTAAAATAACTCATGGGCCCCAGCCTATTCACAGATGCCCTTTGACCTGGAATTAAAAATCTGGCCTAAACTCTATTACACTGTCCAGCTGTATCCAGATCTTGGAGTGTTAACGACTCCTTTTCCTCTGAGTGCTCTTTAACAATACCACTTCAACCTATGTGACCTGTACGGCAAGCAGGAATCACTGTGCTCATGTGAAAGCAAAGGAAACCGAGGCTCAGAGAGGTGAGAATCTCAGAGAGGTGTGGATAACGAGTAGCAGGACTGGGATTAAAGTTTAAGTAGAGTGTGGTTCATGCTACAATTTGTTCCAAGTTACAGAAAGTTTTATCAGCAAGGAACTGAGAAACGGGTAAACATGAAGGAGTATTTTTAAAACATCGAATTGGTATTACTACTTCTCACTCACTTTAATTCTGGCAGATTTCTGACACTAGTAGCTATATCTGAGGCTTCTGGACAAAGTTTCTCCACCAGCTCCAAAGGACCAAAGAAAGACTTATTTTGGCCAATAAAACTCTTCTTAACTAAAAGGGAAAACAAAAGTGTTATTCATAAGAACACGTTGTAAAATTTCTTCAGGGGCCCATAGTCTTTCTCCCAAAAGCCAAGTGAAAGGTGCAGAACCCACTGCTTGGTCCTTCTGATTCAGCCCTGGGAACTGGGAACGGCCAAGGAGCAAATCAGCTCCTCCTCCCTCCAGCAGCAGGGCTTCTGATATACTTGCTAAGCCCCTTCTCTAGTGCCCTGAAATAAAACAGGTGCCTGCTGTGCTCATCTGGGAAATCTCTTCCCCCTTTTCCTTCTGACGGGAACACCAATGCTTCATTTCTTCAAACCATCACTACCACCTGTCACTGAAGCGCTCTAGTAACCTAAGCGGTCTCCCTGCTCCCAACAGTGTCACCTCCCACCATTACAATTCATTCTGGGCAGAGCTGGAAGTTCTTTTACAGATGCAGGTTAGGTTACCTTAACTCTGAAATCCTCCAAACCCTAAAATACTAATCCTAACTCTGACCCTAAGGCTTTATTTTCTTGTGGTCCAAGACTTGGACCAAAATCCTCCCTCAAACCCTCCAAATACATGTAAAATAAATCCTAACTCCTCACATGAACTTTAAGGACCTGCAGGATCATCTCCTTCACACTCCCCTGGCCTCCTCTCACATTCTCTCTCAGTAGGCCTCAGGTTCCAGCTCCTTAAGCTGAGGTGGGTCCCACTCAGGACCTTTGCATGAGTTTTTATCCCCCTCCAAATCTGCAGCACTGGCTCCTTCTCCTTGGGTCTCAGCTCACGTTTAACCTCCCTAGAAAGACCTTTTGGTCTTTCCCATTTGGCTCAGTCTCCTTCCTTAATTCTCCATTGTTTAACCCACTTTGCTTCCTTGACTGAGCAGCATTTTGCAACTACGGCTGTTTCTGTGTTTACTGTCTGCCTTGTCTTCTAGAACTGCACTGTCCAAGGCAGTGACCAGCCACATATGCTGCTCACAGGGACTTGCACTGTGGCCAGTGCTAATGAGGAACTGAACTGAGATTTGCTGAAAGTGTAAAACACAGGCGACTTTTGAGCCTTGGTATCAGAACAGAATGTAAAATGTCGTTAATAAAGTCTCAAAATAATGATTATGTGTCAAAATATTTCGAATATGTATTAATACTAATTTCATTTCTTTTTAACTTTTAAAGTGTAGCAGTAGAAAATTAAAAACTGCTTATGTCTTTGCACTTTCCTTTGGACAGCGCGGCTCTAGAGTGTGCCTCTCAAGGGCCGGGGTTGCTCTGCACACAGCTGTCAACCAGCAACCAGAAGCCCAGGCCCACCTTTCAGACCGTGTCTGAGGCAGTGCTCCATCACCACAAAGAACTGCTGCAAGGGGGCGTGGTCCGCGTCCAGGCTGCGGCCCAGGCTCAGGGCAGACTGCAGCAAGACTTTGATGCTGAGTTTCATCATGTGCATCAGGTTGGCGCGCTCCTCCATCATCTGGCTTTTGGAGGCTGTGGGGCAAGAGCAGGGACATTAGTCGTTAGTGGACTGGGGGAGGTCTGTGGCGAAGGGGTGGGTCGCCAGGCACTGGAGGAGAGCCGGGAGCGCGGACAGACGCGTTGGTAACCGGGGTTCGCAGTCAGCCCTCACCGCCCCCCGTAAAGCCACAGCCCTACCTAGGCCTCTGAGGAAGCTCTGCTTGCCGTTCCACACGCTTCTCACAGGCCGCTGCGCTCGTTACTACGGCGACGGCTATACCAACATTCACCGCAATTGGTGTCTCCCACAACCCGTGCTCCATTTTCGGCCAATAAAAGGGCCTAAACTCTATTTTAACTAGCGAGCACGCTGGGAAAGCGGTCCCGCCCCTCCGCACCCTGATTGGGTAACTCAGTGGAGACCACGCCCACTGAGCGCGTGCGCCATTTTGCGTGCTTCTCTGCCCGGATTCCGGCGAGGAGTTGTCCTCCCCTCAGCTCCAGGCTCAGACTACCCTAGTCGCTGATATTTCGTCGAAGTAGTGGACAGTCGTGAAACTGAAAAGCTTTTTTTGAATTAAAATCAGTAAGAATCAAGCGGCCTCAGCCACATTTGTCCTGTTGCTTTCCTCTCGCTCTTTCTCAGGTGACATCGGACTTGTGCGGGCGCGCGCCGCCTGTTCCCTCGGCCGGGACGCCGGCGTCGGGGCGACAGCGAAGGCCCGCAGCCCGCCCGTCCGCACAGCCGCCGCGGAGCCGCCCCTCCACAGTAAGCGAGGGGCGAAGGGACGGACCTTGAAGCACTGAGTTTGCCATCAGGGTCGTAAATAAATACTGAGGCACTCCAGGACTCGAAGTTCTACATCGCCCCGGCAAAATCCAAGAAGGCGGGCAGAGCGGCTGGGAAGGAGCACTGTAAACCCGGCACCTGGGCTGTGAAGAGGGAAAGCAGTCGGATGGGCCTGGCTTAATTATTCTTAAATTTCAACTTTCCAAGGAGTACTCCGGACCCCAGGGACGCACTCTGCCCCGAGCCAGCGCCCTCGTCCCAATGCACACATCGGAAACTTGAGTGACGCGAGGGCTGGCCAAGGAGGTAACGGAAAACTCAGCCACAGGAAGGTGACCGCAGCCCAGCAAGAACAGCTGCGGAGATCCCCTCAGGAACATCGCAGCCAGCCACGCAGACCCCGGGCTTCAGTCCACAGTGGACGGTGGACGGCTCCCCTCCCTGCTCAGCCGCAGAGACGGGGAGAAGGCGAGGGCTCCTGAGGTGTCTGCTTCCTCACTTAACTGTACTTAGCTGAGAAGCTTCGTCTTCTCAGGGGGGAAAGGGTGGCTTCTGGCTCTTTGCTGGGCACTTTAGCATCTTATTGAGACTGCTTCTCAAAATAAATAAATACATTTTTAAGAAAGGGCTGGGGATTTGGGCGTGGTGGGGCAAGCCTGTAATCTCAGCACTCTGGAGGCTGAGGCAGGAGGATCGCTGTAAGTTCAAGGCCAGCCTGAACAATGAGACTCAGCCTCAGAAAACCAAAGGAATAAAAGGGGGAAGGTTTCAGTAGGAAAGCCCTAGGTTCAATTTCCAGTACCACAAAACAAAGCAAAACAAAAACACCTCCCCAAGCAACACCCCCCCACCCCAACCTTCCTAAGCAAAAGAGGGTTCTGGGATTCTCTGTACTGAATCTGAATTATAGAGGGATGACACAATTGTTTATAAACTGCTGGAGATATAGCTCAGTGGTGCAGTGCCTGCCTGGGAAGTGCAAGGTCCTGAGTTCAATTCCTAATACCGAAAAAAAAAAAAAACCAAACAAAAAAAAAAAACAAACTTTTTAAACTGAGAAAGACACAGTGAAATAAATTTTTAAAATATTCTGTCCAGGCTAGCCTTGAACTCCTGGGTTTAAGTGCTCCTCCTGCCTCAGCCTCCAGAAGAACTGAACTACAGACAGGTCTAGCCACATAGTTTTAAGTGGCAGAATGTTTTCTTAATGCTGGAGCACATTATGAACATGCATACTTTGTTACTCATCCTTTAGAAGAGCTCACTCTAAAAGCAAGATGTAGGAGATATATATATATAATTAAGTCTTTGGTTCTGCAAATCTCAGCACAGACAGATAATCCCATTATCCTTATATCCTCTGAGTGAAGAAAATCTAATTTTAACTTATGATGACCCAAAATCCTAGTGCCAGGCATGAGGGCAATAGGAGGAACAGTCTCCAGGAATTAAGAGCTTATTGTGTGAGTGCCTGGTGTGGGAAATTGCTGAGGCAGGAAAGCAACCAGCTACATGAAGAGACACCCAGGAAGATACACTAGGACTGAGGAAAGTTTTGGGGCAGGGGAACTTACTGCACACTCAATATTCTTTTCTGTAGTTGGATTTTTAAAAATCCATTTGTATTTTCCTTTACTAAATTCCAAAAAACCCAAATAAGACAACTATGCACAACACAGTTACTGTGGGGCCCGATCCAAGAGGGTAATTTTTGTGTGTTGGCAGTGCTGGGCATAGAACCCAGCATCTCATGCATGTGCACATTAGGCGATTGCTCTGCCGCTAGATACACTCCCAGCCCCGATGTGGCTGACATCTTAAAACAGCACTCAAAGCATTCCACAGCGATGTCTTAAAAAAGTGCTGCTATCAAAATGTTAACTGGCAAGAATACTGTTCATATTCAAGCTCTACTGCTAAATTGCTCCCTCTGAAAACTCTCCCTGCCCTTGCTACTCCAGTGAGGGGGAGCAGCCCGACCCCTGTAGTGGCTGCTGTGGTCTCCCTGGTGCGTCTGGCTTCCACAGAGCATTCTGCCCGGCCAGGTCCTTGCCCACACCTCCTGGCTTCCAATCCTGCTGCCCTCGGCCAGCCTGGGGATCCAAATTTCAGCCCTTTCGAACTCATGTTCACATTCTTTCCACACTGACTGGCAGTTAGTGAATACTACTTTAAAATGACTAATTACAAACATCCAGGTACAATGTATTTTGACATTTTACATCTGAGGTTCTTTAAAGACACAGGTGACAGACACTGTTTTGGGCCAAGCTTTGGTCTTTGTCCAATATGACAATAAGGGTACCTATCACTCGGGTGGCTACGAAACTGTCAAAGACGGAAGTCGGCCCACTCCTAGGGCCCTCCTGGGCTTCGATGTCACCTCAGGGATAGGGCAGATTCGAGGTTCTCTCAGTCCCTGCCTTCCAAGCTCTGGTCAGCCTGGGCCACAGGACTCCCTGACTGCATGGGGGGGCAAGGGGGACCCATAGGAACCTGACTTCAGGTGTCCTCACAGGCTCCTATTGGCCATCAGTTACACAACACAAATCACAGAAAATGTTTCAAACCAGGCATGTGTGAGTGCCCAGCCCTCCAACCACACAGGCTGCACAGCTGCTGCACACCCAGGAGTTGGCTGGCCCTACTCAGGGTCGCTGGAGGACAAGAGGAACGCAGGTGTGTGCAGATTGAAGGCAGGGCACCCTGCTCTAAGTGGGAGATGAGGACTTTCCAATGTGCATTTGTTCATCACATATTTATTATTCTGGCCAGGTACAGTCCATTTTATTTATGAATGAACAGCTGGTGTTTATTACAGCCAGGCACTGCGTAATAACGTGATGGGCCACGCTACAAGATTACAGGGAGTGGAAGATTCCCATCACCCCGTGACACTGGGGCTGTCTCGAAGTACAGTGCAACACATTCCTCACATGCAGCGACGCTGGTGTAAGCACCCCTACTGCACTACAGCACTGTGCTGTACACACAGCAACAACTACAGCACTGTGCAAGCAAGATGTGCCGTACAGGAAAGGCACTGAGGCTCATCAAGATGTCCACAACTGTACAAAACGAAGACAGGCCTAAGTCCCAACAGCATGCCTCAAAGTCTGAAAGTCATTAAACAGATCATTAAAGGGGGAATATCTGTATTTGACAGTGGTAATCGTTATTAATGGTTTGTGTTCTTACTACACTATGTCTATTATAGTTATTTTAGCAGGTATTCCCCCTGCAGTACTAAGGGTTAAATTTAGGGCTTTCACCCTGAGCTATATCCCCAGTCCTCTTTTACTTTTTGAGGCAGGGTCTTTCTACTTGAACTTGGAATCTTCCTGCCCCGGCTTCCTAGAGTGCTGGGATTACAGGCTGTGTCACCATGTCTGGCGACAAATACTCCTTCTACTTAAGAAAAATGTTGACTGCAAAACAGAGCCTTATGATGGTCCTTCAAGGGGTATTCCAGAAGACACTATTTAGGAAAATAAGATGTAGAAGTGGAAGATGGTAATACTGATGATCCTGACCCTGCATAGACCTAAGCAAATGTGTAGTTGTGTATTAATTTTGTTGTTGTTGTTTTGAGACAGAGTCTCACCATGTAGTTCAGGCTGGCCTTGGACTATGTAACCCAGGCTGGCCTTGAACTCAAAGTGATCCTCCTGCCTCGGATTCCTGAGGGCTAGCTAGGCTGCCAAGTGTGAGCCGCTACACGTGGCCAGAAAACCACCTTTTATAGATTGACACAGCTGTGGTGTGTCTGAAGAGCGCAGCAGGGTGCAGTTACCTCCTAGGCCTGGGTCATCACCACACACTCCCTGCCTATGGGGAGCCCTCCCTGGCCTGTGCGGCAGTTGCAGATACGTGTCCCTGTGGGTCACCATTTACCTTTCAAACACATACATGGCCTGTGACAGGTGCGAACGGCAGGCAGTGCCGAGCAGAGGAGTGCTGGGCTCCTGCACCATCTGGGTGGTATGAATACACCCCCGCCGTGATGCTCAGCGGGGTCAGCAAGCCACACTGCCCAGGAAGCAGCTTGGGAGGAGGACCCTCCACGAGAGCCTCCTGGCAAGTGCGGGGGACAGTGCGGGGGTGGGGGGTAAACGGGGTCTAGTCTGCTCACGGGCCAGTGCATGGCTAGCATGGCCGCTTGAGCAACGCTGGCTCAGCGAGCACGGGCTGACAGGCGGGACCCGGACGCTAGCACTGGGCACTGCACCCGAGCAAGGTGGCTCATTGGAAATTACTGCGGGCCCCGGTCCGCACCCAACTAAGTAGCAGAGGTCTACGTGTGCCTGATGCATGTGATGTGCACTGACGTGAGTGTGCTATGTACTTACAATGTATGAGGGGGTGTGATGTCTGTGTGTGATGTATGTGAGTGTGTGTGCTGGGAGTAAGGGTGTGGAGAGGGTTCAGGGAGAGCTAAGGCTGAGCATCAAGAGAACTTTTTCTGTTGTTTTGTTTTTTTTCAAGACTGGGTCTCACTGTGTAGTTTAGACTGGGCTTGAACTCACTATGTAACTTGCGGCAATCCTCCTGCCTCAGCCTCCCAAGTGCTGCTATTACAGGTGTATGCTACCAAGCCTGGCTAGGGAGTATTTTGTTTTCAGAAAACAGTAGAACTGACACAGAATATCTTCATCTTGAAGAGGAGCATGGAGGAATAGGAGTATCATTGTTCTTACTAATGTACTCCAGCCTTAAAAGGAAATTTCACCTGGGCATGGTGGTGCATGCTGGTAATTCTTGCACTGGGGAGTCTGAGGCAGGATTCCCATGTGTTTGAGGTCAGCCTGGACTACATGTCCAGACCTTGTCTCAAAAAAAAAAGTAATAATCACAGAAAAATTCCAGATTTGTTTTGTCCCATGTTAGTTCTTTCATCTGTGATAAATTTGCAATTTTCTTTCTTTCTTTCTTTCTTTCTTTTTTTTTTTTGTCTTTTTGAGACAAGGTATCAGTATGAAGTTGAGGCTGGCTTTGAGCTCACTTTGCAGCCCAGGCTGGACTCAAACTTTCAACTATCCTGCCTCAGCCTCCCCGCGAGCTGAGATTGGAGGCGTGTACCACCATGCCCAGTTTAAACTTGCAATTTTCAAAAAACAATTACTGTTTTCCCACAGTGTCTGTGGGGGACCCAATCCCTGCCATGCAGTGATGTGGGGCTGCACAGAACCAGGCACATCCTCCTTTGTGACTCGGAACGCTCATGCCTGGTGGCTGAACTCTTTCTTGGACCTCAATGCCTGGCGGCTCTGATTGGAATTTGATTGTCTAATGTTCTATAGCTGACCTGTGTATGCTATTTTGTTAATATAAAAAGTCACTATTATTTCATGGATAATTATTACTGTACTCAGTGGTAAATTTTTCTTTTATTATTCCTTTGTTGTTCCTTGGTGGTTCTCTTTTTTTTTGTAATAATATGTAACTTTTTCTTTTTTTTTTTTTTTTAAATTTTTTTCCGGTACTGGGAATCAAACTCACGACCTAGTGCTTGCCAGGCAGGCGCTGTGCCACTGAGCTAAATCCCCAGCCCCCATATGTAACTTTTTCAATACATATATGTACATTATAACATTCATTTTTCAATTTTAAGAGTATTTCAATTTTGCAAATTTTTTCCCATTAGAGTATTAAGCAGAAAACAGATGATTTAGTAGATGACTCTGTAATTATATCTCATCAGAGGAAAATGTCATGACCTGTCTATTACTCTCAAGAGGAAGATGTATTAGAGTTAGACGAATGTAATTTTTTTTTAGATATATGTAATCTTGTGGTCAGTACATTCAACAAACATAGTGTGGATCTGGATATGAATGTGGAAGATCTTGAGAAAGAATGGCAGCAAATAAAAGAAAGAAATGTGATAGAACACGCCCACAAAGGCTGGGAGTGGGGGGTGCATGTCTGTAATCCTAGCACTCCAGAGGCTGATCCCTATAGGCGGATCCCTGTGAACTGGAGGCCAGCCTGGGCTACATAGTGAGTTCAAGGTCAGCCTGAACCACATGTCTCTAAAACTGAACCGAACTGAACCAAACCAAGAATACAAGCACATAGAAATGCAAAATGCAGAACTTCTAATAAATATTAATTGCAGTGATCCTTCTGTGTTGTATAAATTATTCATATTTGATAATATATTCAAAATTATAGTTGAACACACCGATAAGTTATACAATGTGGCTTCGGTAAAATGAAAACACCAGCAATGCTACGAATGTTATAATTAGCATGATGAAACTCGTTATAGGTATATTATTACAAAATTTTTTTTTTTTTGGTACTGGGAATTGAACTCACGACCTTGTGGTTGCCAGGCAAGTGCTTTTGCCGCTGAGCTATATCCCCTGCAATACGTATATTATTAATTATGGGGAGAGTACCATCACCAGATATTAGAGTGTATTTGTCTGAAAATAACATGCAAGCCAATGGACATGAAAGAATACTGTACAGTTTTCTGGCTGTTTGGAACTGTTTGCATTGCTCTGACAACACGATATGCAGAACTGGGGATTCCCTGAATGAAACTAGAAAAATCATGGAAGAAACTAGTACATTCCAGGGTGCAGTAAAACCTGGAAAAATGCGGGGACCAACGGAGGTATGATTTTATGGTGAGAATGTCTTGCATTTGCACCAACACATCAAAGGAAAATTGCTCAAACACGGGATAAAATTATATAAATTATGTGCACCTAGTGGTTATACCTGTGATTCACATGGCCATGCAGAGAAAATGTCGAGCCTTCCATGCAAGGGTATTCTTACCGTGTCGTTTTGAAATTAATGAGCAGCTTATTATTTGAACATAGCATGTTATGTGCAGATAGTTACTATTCGAGTATACTCCTAGCACAAGAACTTTTACAAAAAGAAACTTTTTTGTGGCACAGTACAGCCAAACCAAACATTTTCACCAGTACAGCAAAAACAAAGGACAAATGTGAAGTCATTTGTCTCCGAAAATCATCCTGGTGTAAAATCTGTGAAATGGACTGTAAATCATGCATGTACTTTGATCAAAGGAACTCCTGGAAACATAAAACCTGATACTGTCTTCGATTACAGTAACGAAAAAAAAAAAGCATTTATTCAGCAGACCAGAAGTCATCATATTGCCCGTCTTTAAGGAAAACATTAAAACAGCACAAAAATTGTAATGCAGCTAATTTGTGGTATGGCAGCTGAGATGCACATTATAGACTCCATCAACGGGCTACTCGTAAGATTTCTATGTTAAAGTTTAGAGAATTTACTAATTTTTTTTTTTTTTTTTTTTTGTACTAGGAATTGAACTCGCGACCTCACGCTTGCCAGGCAGGCGCTGTGCCACTGAGCTAATTCCCTCGCCCTAGCGAATTTATTATTGATAAACTACTAACCCGTGAAAAAATGCCATAGGCACAAATTACTAGAAAAACATTCGCTTTACAGAAGCTTATTTAGTAATGGCAAGAATCGCACCAGCAAGGTAGAGGATGTTACCCAAGTTATCTGAAAAAATGGCGCCACTGTGCAGCATAAAGTCATGTTTCATGACGTTTTGTGCACTGTGCAATTCACTTGCCTTTAAAGAAATTAATGAATAAATTTCTTTTAATTTAATGAAATTTGATTACTGTAATAACTTCTAACTGCTGCGAGTGTGGTGGCGCACGTCTGTCATCCCAGCATTGGGAGGCTGAGGCAGGACTGCTGGGAGTTCGAGGTCAGCCTGGGCTACAAAGTGAGCTCCTGTCTT